CCACCACTCACTTACTTACCCTCCCACTCACACATTTACATATTTTATGCTATAGCTCCAGGAAATTGTGCCTCCCCAACCCTGTGGAAAGTCAAGATGGGGAGCCATATCTTACCTTGTCCATCTCACTTTTGCTCAAGCATTTTGACAGCCAAGAAGCAGGGGAAAAAACGCGCCATCTCAGTGTGTATGTAATGCTTACAGCATTTGGAGGATTACGTCTGTTTCAATAGTCTAATACTCCTCTGGCTTGACACATTTACACATCACCTCCTCCTCTGCCCAGCTATGGTTAACACTGAGGAGGTAAGAGATTTTCCGCTCCAATTATCTTCTACACTGAGTCAGTGGTGTTGGTTCTGCTGTCACAGGAGGTGTCTGAACTATATCTAAACATGAACCTCTGTCCATTTTGTACTAGGTTATACAGTCAGTGAAATGACATATAGTCAAGGGCAGCTTATGGAGCAGTGGGGTAACTCACCTACTATTCCGCTGTGACATAACAGAAGGTGGTGTTATTTAGTAAAAATCTGCTGTGCTACAGTGTATTCTGCTTTGGGCATCAGGGTGTAATATGGCTAGTGCCACAGAAGTACTCTGGATGTACTAATATCTGAATAGATCACTCTCCTCCAGAGAAAGAGCGAAGCAAATAACCACAAACGAGGCCTTTAAAATCTTTTCACTCTCACAATCGTTAGGAGTTAATCAGAAAAGATTGTCTAGCACCTCAGATACCATGGCAATCCCTTCTTGTCCTCCTTAACAGCCTAGCCTGCTTACTGCAAGCCAAGAAACAGAAAACTGACAAGAATGTCCATTGTTGTATTACGGGTTTTCTTCCAGAAACTTACTGTGCTCCTGCACAGAAGTAGGTCAGAATACTTTCCCCATTACTCCCATAGAAGACCTTACTGTCCTAATGGTTTTAGTGCCCATCATAAATTTATTCAGGTCCCCATGTCCTTGTGTGAATACCATTCCTTAGCTTAAACAGCTCCTCTTTCTAGTACTTTTTCCTGTATGCATTTGTTGACAATGCTCCTATTCATTTCCCTGTTCTATTTTACCAGCCTAAGCAATTTAAATTCTTCTAGGACCCCTTCACATGATTCTCCTGGTGATCCTCACAGCTCTGCCTTGCAGGTCTCACGGTCTCACTTCACTGGCAGCACTTCATTGGTATTTGTTGTTTGACTTTCCTTCATCATGCTGGCAGCTGAAAACAACCCTGAGGTTCTCACAAGTTTTGATTTCCAAAGTATGAGTTACTTCCTTGTAGCTGATTTTTTGCTGCGAGTCCCCAAAGGCAGTATCTTCAGTAAGTATTACATAAATAAATATGCTTAATATACTACATATTAAGTCACTATACACAGATAGAGACATTTCTATCACAGCTGAGCTGAATATTTAGGCTTGAGTCTCCAAGTGAATGCCTGAGTTCAGAAATGAGGCGTAGCCCATAATGAAGTCCCTCAAGAGATCTCTTTGCTAGGGATACTCAGATTATTCCTAGTATGAACTGATGGCTCTTCACAAACAGTCACTTCTGAATTTGCCCAATTGTTTCTAAAAAGTCAGATTCGTGTGGCATTCCTTCACCATAGTCAAAAAACCTTAAACATCTACAATTTTCCTGCAATGCATAGTGAACAGTATTGCAACCACTTACTGAAATGAGGTCTCCAGCACATGACTGAAATTGGCTTAACTATGGTAGTGATCAAAAGAATTAGAGCAATAAACCGTAAATGTATTCGATTATCTTTCAGAAGTACCTTGAGCCATCAATGTACTGAATTCCATTATTTTTTGTAATTGATAGGTAATAAGCAACAAATATATTACACTGGACTGTGGTATACCTCCCTGACATGCATACTATATCTCACCAACAGAAGCCAGATGGAAGATCAAAGAATAAGAGACAAATCCCTGTGATGAGTTCTTTATCTCTTTAGCTGAAAGCGAAACTAAATAATGAGACTATCGTGGTCTATCTGCAGCTGCTTTCACTGAAGTTCAGGAAATTTGTATTGTTGAACCACAGGAAGATGTCATAAGTTGATCAAAACTAGAACAGATTCTTGTGGAGCCTTTTCTCTATTTTGTATTTTATGTAACTTATGACTATTGCAGAAAGCTTAGAAACTGCTGTTTCACTCAGGCAATTCATCTAATTATATCTATTAAGTCAAAAAACTTTCCCAAAAATGCAATCACGTTTTCTTTTTCAGAACACTGAATACTTTTCAACTACATCACAAGCATCTCATTAGGAAAGGTGACATTTCAAATATTTTACTAAATATATATAGGATTTAATGATGTAAAAGTTGCCTCTTCCGTGCAGGTCAGACCATAGTCATCTCTAAAAAGAAAGTCAATTTTTTTTGCTTTCTCTGAGAAATCAAGATAGAAAAGACCATCTTTAATATATAACTGCAGTTCTAGAGTAACCTTCCAGGCCAGACTCACACATCTATCTTCATACCTGCTACACCAGACACCGATTATGCTCTCACAGTCAGTACTGTGCTGTAGTACATGCAAGAGAGACAAGAATCTTCAAGACTGGTGACTTACAACAGCTGTCTCCACACTGATCCCATCAGCATCCTCCTCTGGGAGATTACATATTCCAATCGCTTGTTTGGATTTGGTTTTGTTTAAATTGTTCTACAGTACAAATGATAGATTCTTTGCCTGTGGAGACCAGCTCTAACTATACTCGTGCTTTTTCTCGCATTTTTTTCTTCTTACTGTAAGTTTGATTTTTGACACTTAATGCTGACGAACTGCAGCAAAAATGGAAGCCACAGATGTGGAGAGGGGGAAATGAAGTTTTATTAAGTGCAAAAATGGAACAAAAACTGCAATATAAATCACTGAAATGACCCATTACCTCAAACCAACTATCATGTGAATTCACTTATAAATTCACATATACATGGTCAGGCAAATCAACACAACTACAGTCTATAAAAGTCATATTAGCAGCTCCTTTCCTCTAGGCACTGGTAACAGAAAGCAGGCATTTCCAAGCCCTGATTAAAGTCATAATTAAGTATATAAGAGCAATAGGAACAACATCTGGTGTTAACATGAGTACGCATATCCTTAATTTCTCTTGTCCCCCTTTACCACTGCATGGGCAGTGAGGATCAGCTGTAGAGATTACATGACTATGTCACGATACTATTCTGTGCAAAAATACTTGCCCTTTTGCAGATATCAAGTAGTTCATCGTACCACACCTGGATGTCTGCTTTGCTGGCATTCAAACAACTTTGGAGTTAATACCAGTTAGCTTTCAACCTTCCTTATGTATCTCTGTTATTCTGTAAAACCTCAATGCGGTCAAATTCTGTATGGTCTTACAATCTTCAGGGTGCGGGTATATGCAGTCACATCATCTCTCCAAGCTGAGGAGAGGGGGAATTCATGGCAAATTCAATCTCAGTTTTAAATATCTGATTCTCATAAAGCATAGGCTCAGTCCAGAGCTTTTAAAAAACCATGTGCACTACCCATATTCACATGCGTAGTATAACACATTTGATACTTTATGTTGTTAGGCAATACACTGATAAGAGCATATGAAAAACTACGTGGCTGAGGAGCAAGGCTAACACACCTTGGCTAAGTACCAGGAAAATCATTAACGTTTCTGTCAGCTGTTTGGCCAAGAAATGGATGTGGCCAGTATGTCTGATGGCATTTTTGAAGTAAGGGCAATCATTAGTCCTGCAGGAGAATGTTAAAACTGATCTGTGATTATAAATCACAGGAAACACTGGTAGAGAAGAGCCAAACCTTGAGAAAGATTTGGAAATGTAAAGACACACATATCTGTAAAGCAGAAATCCTCTTCAACAAAAGCTTAAGACAGAGAATGGATTTTGCCTGAAAGTACCAAATTTCAATAGCTCTTTATTGCCTGACAGAAGGAAGGAGACCTCTTGGAGCTGATCTGAAGGACACCACAGATGTGTGCCTTATTCCTTTGTTCCTTTTCATCTGCATGTTAACCTGGCAGCTGTGTTGTCTGCATTTTGTAAATCCACATTTAGACTTTACTTTTACCTAAACATCTGTCAGGAACTATGCTTGATTTCAGAATATCTGACAAAAAACAAGGTATTTAATTCTCATGAATCTTAAGATATTGCCATGACACCCAGCATTCCAATTGTGTTCTAGAGTGCACTGAGAAGGTAACGGAGTTCCTCAACTACAGCTGCATGAACTAAGTGTCAGTGTCAAAGAGGTGTCTCCTCAGAACTAGCATTAGTTGAATGATGAGCGTGGGCTGAGACTTGATGGTCTCCTAGAAAACCAACAGAAGACCTTCCATAATGCTTCTCGACTGACTTCTCCACATTGGTACTAGGAGAAAATATGGTTCCATTTTATCCAGGAATTTATTTCAGATTGGTATCTTCTGCCAGGCAGCTAATGATAAGGGAGGATTGCAATGGTTTTGAATAGCATTGCAAGGTTTGTTTTAAAAAATAATACTAATTACAAGTGTTACAAAGGGTTAGGAGTACATGTACTTACTGAAGATCTCATTGTCACATAAATCCCCCATATCTCTCAGCTGAAGGAAGCTCAGGTTATAATGTAGGCATCAGTGTCCATGAACAAAATACTGTTATCTCTATCCCATCCCCCTCTTCTCCCTGCCAAAATGAGCATTTACAGTATTCTCAGCAAAATAGGAGGATGGAAACAGTCTGTCTCATTCCTCCAAATCACTCCCACTTGGCTTGTCTAGACCACATACAACTCAGTAGTGAATACTCTTAGCCCAACCAAATCTGCCCTACACTTTCTAACCTCCCTTTTCTCTGTTTTCATTTGACTTTTCTGCTTGACATTGCCCAAAGCCTGCATGCCAAGCTAATCAGGACAGGAACTGTTTGGGTCTACTCCCAAGCAGAATCCTTAGGAAATACCAAAATACAAACCCAAGAGCATTTAAATAATAATACTTTGCGAATACAGTGATATTTATTGAGGGCATCAACAAGTATGCAAATATAACTAACATCACGCTATGTTAGTGGAAAACGTGAAATCAAAATGTTTTTCATTGTGCTTTGTGCCATGTGGTAAGTCCTAAGCAGAATTAAATTCCTGCTCTTTGTGCAGAATGCTGAGAAAACTCTCTCTGCGATAGCATTTAGCATTGGGGTTAACATCGTCCTAGCCACTGTGACAATTTCTACATTCTTCTCAGATCTCAGACCTGACCTCTTATGAATACTATCTTCCCAAAGTGTACGGTTTGCGTTTCCTATTAGTTAGCAAAATGTGCAGTTTTCTGCAGCATCTTCTGTCTCCAGCATGGTTATACAACTGCATTAAAGTCACAGCCTTCAGTCCATGGTTGAGCCCCTTCTGAGCCAAGGACAAGATTGTTATAATGCCCTTTGGTGTTCATCTTGGTAGGTTTTGCTGGCATCAGGTACCGAAGGTTCTTCCAAAATCTGGAATTCACGGGAAGAGATTTATCCTTTTTCCACTTCACAATCCTCTTTGATGGTAAAAGAGACAATGATTCTGGCAAAAAATTGTAGTCAATTATAGGCATATATTCAATTAATATGATCTTAGTTTTTCTTTCAACTAGGGCTTTATGCAGTCCGCTCTCAAGTTCATATATTGCTCTGTCAGAAACGTAGTTCTGGCTCAGTATAATAATTAATCTTCGGCTTTTGTCAATGAATGAATGGATATCATCAACAACCGCTGCAAATTAAAGATAAATTTGTTATTAAACTAAATTGAAAGGATAGGCACTGAATCGACTTATCCTTTTAAAATCACACATGTACCAGAAATGTTCCCCTTATAAAGTGACAGCATGTAAGCATGGTCCTAGTTTGAGCCCAGAGGGCAACTGAGCACCACGCAGCCGTTTACTCACCCCTTTCCCCTCAGGAATGGGAAGGAGAAAATTAAGCAAAAGGCTTGGGAATTGAGTTAAGGACAGGGAGGGTGATTCACCGTTACAGTCACAGGCAAAAGACAGACTCGTTAGGGGAAGAAAAAAGATCACTTTAATTCAAATACTAACAAAAGCAGCACTTAAAAGACAAGGTGGGACAGTGAGAAGCACCATCACATCCAAAAAACACCTCCCACCATCATTCCCTTCTTCCTGGGCTCAGCTCTGCTCCTGATCTCTCCACCTCCTCCCCCAGCGGTGCAGGGGGCAGGGGTTGAGGATTACACTCAGCTTGCTGCTCCTTCTTCCTCGGGGGTGGGGGTAGGGGGTGGAGGGCACTCCTTGCAATTCTTTCCCCTGCTCCATGTGGCTCCCCTCTCATGGGGGACAGTCCTCCATGAACCTTCTCCGGTGTGAGTCCTTCTCAAGGGATGCAGCTGTTCCCATGCTGATCTGGTGTGGGTCCCCCCTGCGTGTTGCCGCCCTCCCAGCGCCAAACTACAACAGCGGGGGCCGCTTCTCTCCTCAGAGTCCTTGCCTCCTTTAAGTGCAGATGCCTGCTCTGCTGTGGGCTCCTCCACAGGCTTCAGGTTGGTCTCTACTCCACCGCAGACCTCCAAGGGTGGCAGGGGGGCAGCCCTGCCGTCTCACCATGGGATATAAGAGTGCTCTCTGCTCCAGTGCACCTCCACCCCTTCCTCCTCCTTCCTTCCACTAACCTGGGTGTTCGCACAGGTGATCCTCTCCCAACTCCTCACAACTCCCAACCTCCTCCCAGTTTCCCCTTCTTAAATACGTTATTGCAGAGGTGCAGCCACCATCGCTACCTGGCTCGGCCTTGGCCAGAGCTGGGTCTGACTTGGAGCTGGGGGAGCTCTGAGAATCTTCTCACAAGGGCCACCGCTGTAGCCCTCTCCCCTGCTATCAGAAACCCCATCACACAAACCCAGCACAGCATCCTTTCTCTATGAAGAGATTAATATAGAATCATATAATCATATAATTGTTTAAGTTGTAAAAAAAACCCTTAAGATCATCAAGTCCAACCATTAACCTAGCACTGACAAGTTCATCACTAAACCACGTCCCTAAGCACCACCTCTACACGTCTTTTAAATACCTCCAGGGATGCCCACTTCCCTGGGCAGCCTGTTCCAATGCTTGACAACCCTTTTGGCTGAAGAAATTTTTCTTAATATCGAATCTAAACCTCCCCTGGTGCAACTTGAGGCCATTTCCTCTTGTCCTATCCCTTGCTACTTGGGAGAAGAGATCAACACCCATATTGCTACAACCTCCTTTTAGGCAGTTGTAGAGTGATAAGGTGATAAGGTACCCCCTGAGCCTCCTTTTCTCCAAGCTAAACAATCCCAATTCCCTCAGCCACTTTTCACAGCACTTGTCCTCTGGACCCTTCACCATCTTCATTGCCCTTCTCTGGACACACATTACAGATTAAGAGTCTCTAAAAATGAGCTAAGGTATGGCCAAAGCTTGTTCTCTGAAGCAGACAAAAACCTACATACAATCTCCAGCTACCCTAGACAGCTGTCAGTAGTCATACAGATAGAAGGTGACAGCAAAATTTCTTTTTCCTCCAAGCAGACATCTCTTGCTCTTTCATAATAGATACCATTGGAGTGATTCACCAACAACCACCTCTCTCTAAATATTCAGTAACCCTCAGGTTACTCCTTCCTTCACATCATCGAATACCCAAATCTACTGCCAGTAATCCAAGCTTGAGAAGACTAGCATGTGATGACAGAATGAGTTCCAACTGTGTTTTAGATCCATTACTTTTGTCACGACAAGCCATGAAAGAATGGTGATACCCTTCAAACACCCATGAACTAAATTTAATTCTCATGTACAACTTCCTGTGCTTGCTTCAACACCACGGGACAAGGTCTACAGAGACCAGAGATCTAGAAAACATGCCTTGTAGGGGAAGGCAAAGAAAACTGCAGGATTAATCTAAAGAAGAGAAAATTTAGAGGAGAAGGAGGCTGACAAGGTTATTACAACATGCCAAAGGCTCCTGTAAGTAGAAGAAAATGCTCTGTTTTCCATATTCACAATGGATCAGAACAGAGAAAAAGAAGTTAAAACTATTGCAAGGAAATAAGCTAAAATTGTTGAAAGAATCAGACTGAGCGCTTCAGAAAGCCCTTTTTCAATATTTAAGGAGAAAGAATAACTGGAAAAAAATGGCTTGTGAGAACTGTGGCACCTCTCAGGTTAGAAAAATATCTCAGGAATGGATACAAGGAGACAAGATCCTGCCTTGTGAAGGAGGCTGACTGACCTTATTGTTCTGTGTTTTTAACAATGAAATCCCATTCCTCAACTAGATCTTTAGACAAAATGGAATCCCCCAGTATCTTTTTTTCCAAGCATCTGCAAAAGGCCATCTATCCACAGGCCATTTAGAGAAACAAAATTCCGTGTTCTCATTTCTATTTTGTTTTGGCACCCATTACATTCACAAAATGGTTTCAACCACCACACTGAAGATACAGCAAACATACAAGTTACCTGAAAATAACTAGTACCAGAGACACCAGCAGCTCTGTGAAGTACATGTGAGTTCATTCATAGAAGCCTGCTCTCAGCAAAAACAGAGCAAAAGCACAATTACTGTGAAACATCTGATATCTTCTGCGTTCTCACCTTAACTTTCTGCATGCTACCTTTTTCATCTGTTCATTTTGGTTCTGTGTAATTAGAGATGTGTGTAAGTGCATAGGTGTATATGAATTCATGAATATATCTGTAAAATATGTAAAATGCATGCATGCTAACTTTGCATGCACATAATCTAGATTAAATGAAAAATGTATCATTTCAATGCACAAGACATTGGACAGAACTTCTTCTAATTAGAGACTTTTACATTTGCATGAAAATGGTGTGCCTATTTAATGACAAGAATATTCAATACACTTACCTCCTCCAGGGGATACATCCCTCTCAAATATACATAACTTGTACCCAAAGTTCTCCTCTAACATCATGGGTAGTATCTTCAAAGCAAATTCTCTCTCTTCTTCAGAAGGAGAAACACAGTCTTTCAGGTAAGACACAAAAGCATCATATTCTTTTCCATCTGGAAGGAAATCACCAATTGTTGTCGTGTTAGCAATCATTAGAAACACAGTACCTGCTCCATACAGTATCTGATCCACCATTCTGGTTTTCAAAGTTATTGTCTCAATAGCAAAGCATCCAGAAACTCCTGCTCTTTCCTTTCATACCCCAAACGGTCTTCAGATAAAAAAAATCCTGAAACAAATTAAATTTGACACAAAATATTCTGATTGCATTTGGCAAATATTTGAAAATAACATATCCTTTCTACATTAAAGTGTTTAAAAAAAAAATCAGTTTAATTTAACCACTTAATGCCACAACTGTGATGATCAAGAAAATGAAGGGAAGTAAAAAAATCTGTCTGTAACCTGGTAAGAATGTTATTTAAGTGGTATTGCAGATTTCCACATTTATTCTACTCCTTGTCTAAGACTAACAAGTAGTTCTGTAGAATGGGTACTGGCAAAACAGAATAAACCAATTTATTACTTTAATTATATGGTCATGCTTTAGGCAGTAATTTACAAACACAAAATCCAAGGCTAATTCAGAGGCCAGGTCTACCACATTGAGTGATACTGAGTCCTGCCACAGAACAACTATCTGGATTGATAGAGCGGTGTATATAACTTCACATCTTAAACCGTACTTCTTTGCTTCCCTTTCTGGATACTTTACTACATGTTGCTCATAAGAGGGAGCCCAAACCAAAGCCCGTGAAACCCTACACATGCAAGAGCTCTAGGAGTAGGAAATCCATTGCCTAGTATCACACAATCAGTTCCTTCAGGGTCACTTAGGCCAGGTTCTCAGAGATCCTCCCTGTAAGCCAGTGTCCACAGTGATAGTTAACATCAACAGACAGAAGAATAATGCTGGCAGGCATAAATGACATCCACCTAGTACTGAGAAATCTCCAACCACTGCAGTCTATTCAAGCTATATTCAGGCTGATATATTGACTAAGGAGGGCTAAGAAAATCAGGTACATATATACAGCAAGTCGTTTCACCATGGTGTTCAGAAAAATTAAAATTGGGGTAACTGTCAGGCTTGCTCCTTAAGTGAAGGTCACAGCGATGCTGGCTGGTAAGGTACTGATAGTGTGCTCTCCTGCTCTCCTTAAGTGCATTTAGTGACAAACCTATAAACGCTGCAATGGCCTCTACGGTCAAGGAAGCATTTTAACCTTCACCTCACTGAAGGGCATTGGTGAGGTGAAAATTTCTGTCAATCTGCCCGTCTGACAACTCCAGAGTACTCATCTTCTTTGCAGACAGATAACTGTAAACTTCTCTACCTTCATCAACTTTTGTGATGAAGGCAATGGCAAAATAGAGCGCATCTGAACGGCACCTAACCATGTTCCTTCCACTACCTGCTCCAGAGGCAGCTTCTTCACTGTGTTTACCTGCTGTTACTGCCCCAGGTCTGTAACAAACTCACTTAAACTCACTTTAGCACCCAAACCACAAGTTCTCTTTTACATATTGTTTCCTGTTACTGTTCACAAAACTCCTGGATTTATTTTATCTCTTTCTCAAAGATGATTTTTTATAGAACCTACCAGAAACTATTTTTTTATCAATACACTTATTTCAATGTCATCATTAGCCAAGCCATACCTCCAGCAGTGTCGTCTCTTCTGCATATGTTCCTGTAAAATAGAACTAAGTCAACTCTAAACATCACACAGGCAAACACCGCAGCTACAGCAACACATGGAAATAGTACAGCAAGGACCATGCCAGTTGTGAAAACGTGCACAGGCAGATCTCGGCTGTTCCCTGTAAAACAGAAACCCAGGAAATTGTAGCCTTAACAAAGAGTATTATATGACAAAATTAATGTATTCAATACTGATGGCATCTTCAAATCACCCCAAAAAAATCACAATGTTGATGTGAAGCCTTTCCTGCTAATACTTCAAGCACATATACATGCCATCTGTCCTGAGATGGAGAACTACAAAACAGGCATTACTCTAAAAACTGGAGAAACAATCTTGCATGCATTCACACACCCTCCACACACACATAAATCAACTGTTTGTGGGGTAAAGACTGACACTAAAGATCCTCATAGACGTACAGCATCCCAAACTAGTGGTCACCCACTTTTATGATGAGCTTTCTTCAGGTTCTTTATTGTTTCCTGTTATTCTCTACCTTTCATAATAGTCCTTACTGTCCCATTTAATATCTTTGGACAAGAATTTTTTTTTTCAGTCTCTATTCTCTTTCAGGCTTCTTTTTTTTTTTTTCCTTAATTATTATTCTGTTATCTTCATATTTTTAGTTCCAAATACAGATTTTTAACCCTTTAATCTTCACAAAGTCTTTATGAAGGCACTGTCAAGTCATGCTCATTGTAGTCTTTATTTAATTTGCTTTCTTATATTCATCATCTTTTGACTAGTCTATTTTCACATATTTCCTTCCAGTAAAGCTTGGAAGGGTCTGAGGGAGATGGAAAACAAAAAGGGAATGCCCATTTGCCATGAATCCCCAGGTTATCTGGACTATAAATGTGAAGTACTACTATATGGTAGAGATCAGCTTTCCATAGCTAGAAGGGTAGAGTCCCTGGCAAGAGAGAAACCATTGACCAGAACATTTCAGGCATTATCCAAACAGCAGACTCTTCATAGGTACACAGATGTATTTGAAGAGATGTTCTGAAATCAGTACCCTGCCCTCAGGATTGATAAGGCTAGCATGATTAATAATTACATATGAGAAGTATGATTCACAGATTATACCATACCTTTCTTCAGCTTCACTGTTTTCATTTCTGTTCTTTCATCAGCTTGTAACATGCAGGTGAAATTATGATACATGTCCTCATCTGTTACTTTTTTAATGCGTAGTAGCCTTGTAATGTAGAACTTGTTTTCCAACCTGCAACAAAGAATGGTGTTAGTAACACCACCTGTACAGAAACCTACAACCAGCTGAGAGGCAGATTTTGAGGAAAAGGTCCTAAAATAACCTCAGACCGAGGTTTTACTGAATTTGCAGTTCAACAAAGTGCAGGACATTATTACATACAAGCAAAAGTGCGGTACTGTCAGGAAACCTACTGTAATTTTTGGAACTCTTCTTCACATATCGAAGGTTCGTTCTCGTGGATACCTGTGCACTTTTCTGGGAACGTTTGATTAATTAACCAGTAGAGGCTGGCATCTTCTCTCATATAATAACCCAAGAAACCTGTGCAATTGAGTACCTCTTCTTTACCTAAACAAAGCACAACGTGAGATCTAGTCAGAAGTAGCGTTCATGTTCACAGCGCAGTAAAATGTCAGCTTTCCAGGCAACGTATCCCATGAGCTGTGCTCCTTTCTGGACTTTGTAGTCCCTGCATGATGTTTCATAGGTGTTCCACCTGCACTGGTAGTGGCTTCAACATCCGTGCACCCTGCTGCAGACTGACAGTCATCCACTGCTTTCTCTCAGATAATCTGTCACAGGCAGAAGAGTTTACATAGGCCATAGAATTTCAGGCTTTAGAGAACTAAAGGGAGTTGGATTTGATGATCGTTGTGGGTCCCTTCCAACTCGAGATATTCTACAATTCTATGAACTGGACTGTGTTCTGAAGGCAGAGAACAGGAGAGGTCAACCAGTGCCCCAGTGCCAGGTAAAAGGAAGTAACTGGTAAGGGAAACTAAACCAAATTGATTACAATAGCTGAACTATACACTATTACTCAATAAAGCCAAAACCTGTTAGAGCCCCTGCTGAAGTCTCACAGAAGAAATTCTCATCCCAGCACCACACCTGGAAATCAGCATAATCATGAATATGTGAACAACTCAGACAGTCAGCAACTTCATACCATTTCAAAGGACTAATTGGAAGTGACAGGAACCACCCTGTAGAGTCCAGTTAATTAGAAGAAAGGAAAGCTAAAAAGACAACTGTACACTTGGGAAAATAAAAGCAGAAGGCTGCAGCTCTTCGGTGTGAGATTTGATGATTTGCAAGGCATTTTATTTTACACATTGTCATGCAAATCTTATCCTAAGGTTAGCTGCAACTTTATACCACAATTTCTAGGCTATGCCAGCATCATTTCCAGGGAACACATCCAGAACACCCTTTATTAAGCCACACAAGATGCACGTTAGTTCTTGCTCAGGCCACCACGCACAAATGCTTTCCTGTAAGCAAGGCCTGCCCAGGAATTCTCTAAGGGCACACATTACAAGCTGACTTCTCAAGATTTATCAGAGTGGATGGTTCCAGTAGAACTGCTTAAGAACCTTTAAAGCAGGATCCAGATGAAAACCTGTTTGCCTTATATTTGGACCTTAGAAATCCAAATCAGAGTCACACAGATAGAGACCTAAACTCCTAGTATCATCTACCTTGCAACTGTAGCTTTTTCACCATACAAAACAGCTACTTTCAGGGAAATATTACAGAACACCATCTAAACAATGACAGGTTTCAAAGACCATGGACCTAGCTCACTCAAAATTCCCTTCACTCTCCACCATGCCATACGTTTCATCCCTCAGCAGGTAATTCAATGACCTTATGAAATGAGGTCATTATCCTACCAAGACAGATAAGGGATGGAATACAGGTGGCTCATAATCATTTGATGCTGAGCCCTGCTACCTTCTAAGGGTTGGGACAAGCTCAGTAAGCGGGAAGAACTGTGCAGGAAGGGTGTACTGGGAGGTTGGGAGACATGAAGCATCATAGGATTGGGGTACTACCACTGGAAGAAGGACCTACCAACTGGTATTTGTAGGAAGGAAGGAAAATTAGCATCTGACTGAGCAAATGAGATACACATATGAACAGCAGAGGAGGTAAATACAATTTTTCAGACTTGGAAAGGAAAGACTAGCTAACCAAATGGTAGAAGCCCTCGTGCACAGGAGAGGAAAAAGACAGGTAAACTTCTGTTTTTAAAAATTAATTACAGCCTCAATCAAAAAATCCTGGATCCTGTCCAACACTGTGTGAAGCCTGCAGACCACGTTATCTAACCAGTAGAAGCACAGTTAAGGTCTTGGCTTTTGACAATATAACCAGTTCTTTGCAGCAGTGACAGATTTTTACACTCATATTACCAGGACTATCAGCCCTCTCACTTCTCATTTCCATGCAGAATAACATCCCCAACTGCAACAGGCATAAGGGGATTATTCATTATTGCTCTTCACTGAACAAACCAGACATCTTTCACATATCACTCTGTGGGGTTTTCTATCTACAAATGAAAGCCATGGCAAGATCGTTTATTATCACCACCACTTTCTTTTGCTGGTCATAGCAGCAAGCTCAGCTTCTGCCTCTGTACAAGGGTACATTTAGTGTACTTGTGTATCAATCATAGAATACACTAAGCAAAACATAACCAGATGTGAGGATGGATCAGATCCAGGAGGGTGCACAGACAATTCTTAGTTTGGTTACATTTAACCAGACCACCAAACATCAAGAGATCAGAACAAAAGCATATATATGCAGTAGCTACCACAAAGATTCTTGTACTAATTTCATACCCATTTCAGTTTCAATTTCTTCTTTGAGTCCAGCTATCTCCAAAGTTACAGTCTCTGGTGCATCTAAAATATAAAGAAGTATTGCTATTGAAGTAATAGCTTACTTACATTCTACCACAGTAAAAACTGCACATTTGCTTTATTTCTAAAACTAATCATATGCATTCCATTTAATTCAGAGAGCAATATCTGGACTCTGGCATTACTGAGTAGTTTGAAACACAGTATAACCTGTTGAGTTTCTCTCACATGTATATCTATACAGTACACAATTTACAGTGGTTGGAAAGGCTGTTTCCCAAAACTCTTTAGTAAATCTGTATGACTTACTTGGAGCAGCTAATTTTGAAAAAAATAAAGCTTCAGGGAAAACATGATAAATAAATTATCCAAAATTGGTAATACATCATTTAAACTTCTTCTGCTGATTTTTTATTTTTGAAATTATTGCAAAATAGTTCAGATTACCAGATTTGATCACCACTGTATATATTTATCAAATGAGAACTGTAATTAAAATACTCCATAGCAAAGAGAACCAAAAAGCATGCTTCAAAATTTTAGAAAGTTTTCTTACCACGTTCTACTACCAGTTTAATTGTATTTGTGCTGTGGTATATCTTTCCTTCATGACTGATTAAAATTTTACAGGTATATATCCCAGAGTGCTGTACTGTTAAGGTTTTAAAATCCAGTTCCCGCTCTGTTTCATTTTCATAGTTCTTACAGTCCTGCATCAATAAAGACAGAAAATTCTATTCTGTAGCAAACATACATTCAAAACATTAAAGAAGCTAAAAATTATTTTTTTAAATGAAGTGCCACCATCACTTTCTCACTATCTCAGTGACATTTATCTGACCCAAAAAAGGTGGGGGCCCAGTTTTCAGTCCTGGTCATTCAAACGCAACATTTGAACATTTAACCCATTAGAAGTTAACAGCACTGCAATTCCAAGTAAGCATCTAAGTATAAAAATCTTGCATTGGGGATTTAAATGCACTCTTTTTTTTTTCCCGAAATGATTGCTTGTTCTGTAGGTGTCACCTGCTCGTGGCCAAAAGTTGTCTAAACTTATGAGGAGCTTTCAGGTTAAAGCAAAATGCCTCAACAATAGGGAAACCGACCATCTCCGAGAGTGACAAGAGTTGGAATCTCATTTGTTTACACTCCCCATCCCCCCAAAACAAACTCCGGTTTGGTATTTTTTTTTTATTCATAGCACAAGCTGAGTGAAATGTCCTGTGAAAACACAGCAGTATTTGGTTTTGGTCGGAATTACCTTAGATCAAGAAGGGAAATGATCACTGCTGGAAATTGTTTGGGGAACGGACATCTCCCGGATGCATATGCTTACTACCAGGCTCTTATACAAAAGGCACGTGTGACCATCCCTGTTTTATCTCAGCTTAGGGTGTGACGGGAAGACTCTGAGAATTTTCACCCAGTCCAGCATCAAAAGATATTTAGACGCAAGGATGGCTGCTTCATCTGTCTCACACAGTATGAGGCATCGGTGGAGTCAGCTTAGCCCTGAGAGAGGTCAGTCTGAGGTACGGCCCTTTAGCAAGGAAAACACATCCACCGATGGCCCTACCCACCCACGGGCCTATCCTCCCAGGCCCCGAAGGACAAGGAATCAGGGCTGTGGCTCGTGCTGCCAGGCAGAATCCAGATGCCCTTACTTAAGCAGGCAAAATCCCCTCCTGAAACTGATTCACCATGGAGTGAACAGGGTCCGTCACTCCAGACAGGACACCTGCGAGGAATGAGGAGCAATGGTCGAGGTGATGCATGGGGACAGGGTGAAAGAAACCTATTCAGGGTGCTTCATCCAGTGGCTGAGCACAACACCCAGCAGTTACAGGTGTTTACACAGCTGTCATCTATGCTCTGACGAAAGCCGATAGGGAGAAGACTGATGATTTGCCTAAAATGAACAGACCTGGGTCTGATACACATTTTGTAAAAAGTGTTCAGAAACAGCAAAATTGAAAAGTTTGTGATTACTTTACAATCACATGTCAACTGTAAAAGAAATATCCTGGTGCCTCATTTACTGTCAGGATAATCTCTCTATCAGCAAAGTAACAGCTGGCTAAATCAACTAATAGATATGCACATCAGATCTTTTACCATTCCAAACTACCAGTTTATTAATAATTTCTGATTACAGGCACATATTTCTAAGAAATCTGAGAGCAGAGAAAAATTTTCTTTTGTATATCTGTGTAAAGGTTTTTTCCCTGATAACCTGAAAAATCAAAGCTTTACAAGGTTTATAGATGCTTCTAAAAATTTGTTTGTAATAAACTTTTCCTGCAATCAGATGTTTTGTTTCTGTAGCCAATGATTTGAGTGACACTGTTTCAGTAATTACCTTGTACCATGTTATGCTGTCATTTTCATTGACAGACAAATCACTGCATTTCAGTGAATGACCAGCTCCAGCATTTTTGATTTCTGTAATTAAATGATTTTTGTTGAAACAGCTGCTTTTATTTCTTTCAAGTACATTCAAGGTCCATTTCTGAATTGTGAAATTTTGTTTTCCATTGCTGTGAAAAAACAGAAAAAAGCAAAATCGGTTTTAGGAGCTTTTTAGAGGAGTGTAGCTTAGTGAGTTACACGGCAAAATACAAATAATTTCTCTGTACATCTGCTAGGTAAAAAGTACATCTACAGTGACTATTATTTATATTCCCCTTTTCAACCCACAAATATTTGTTATTTCCCATAACAAAAGAGGTTATCTAAACTAAATCATCACAAAACATTGACAACACAATTGTATCTATGAAATGTGACAATATATGCCATAGCAACCAGAACAAGGATGCAAAAATCTGTGGTGTCATGTATAATTACAAGAGGTTTAGGACCCTGAATCAGCTAGTGATTTAGCAGGTTTAAACTCCTATGCATTCTTAGTTTAAAGCAGTAACTGAAAAATATATTTATAAAACATGTCAAAAAATAAGATGGGCAACCCTGCTATTGTTTACAAAGCAACATTATTCATTGCTCGATACTGTGCAGATAGTCACTGATATTTTGGAAATATTTCTAAACTACGTAAGTCTCCTGAATTACTGAGTCACTTATGAATTCAGGCGTGTCAGTAAACTGAGGCATTCTGGAAAAGATTCATCTCTTTGTCTTTCAGTCCACACTGATCAGAGATCTACTGCAGCCACCCCAGGCTGACTGGAAGAGCCAGGAACTATTGCTTCTAAAGCAGAGTCATCACATCCCATGCAGTTTTTATAAAAGATCAGGAGAATATGATCAAAAAATACTTCTTTTGAATAGCTAGATGATCATTGTCATTCAGATATCTACTATGTTCTATCCACATATTCCTTTAAAGAATCAGATTATAGCTGTGAGTTATTTAATTGCCGGATATGTCCAAGAACATGACTACCATGGAAAAAGAAGCTGGAGGGCTTTTGGCTTAAGTTTGGCAAAGTTGGTCTGGCTTTGGTAAAGTTAGGGTTTAAGATACAGTCATATCCTGCTGCAAATTAATAGGTGTGATTTTGCAATTAGTGCACAAAGCTCTCATTTTTTACCGAACAAGTAAGGTCTGACAAAGCAAAAGCAGCAATTACAGAGCACTTCCCTCCAGTGTCAGTCATATCTTCATAAAGATGTTTGAATCTTTCTGTTTCCAATAAAAGAAAAAGGAATTGTTCCCAGGAGAACTGAAACTAGTCAGGAGTCATTTCGATGAGAAGGGCTAAGCGGACAAAGCAGTTGAAACTGAGAAGCAAGCCTGACGATTTTAAACACCTTTCTTGACTGCTTCAGTTTAAACACCATTCTTGACTGACATGCCTTCTACTGTTACAAGATTCAGAGGAACTATTAGGACATCATTTATATAATTAATTTAGACCTAGTTTTGTGTTGTTTGTTTTGTTTTGGTTTGTTTTTTTTTTAACTTTTTAAGCTCTCCGAACAGATATATTTATATATTTTGCTCACCCTCTTCGCATTGCAGCCCTTTTACAGCCTACACAGATTCTCCTTGTTCTCTCTACTCACTTGAGATATTAATTACTCATAATTGCAATTTATTATCTAAATCAAAACATAGTGGTTTAGTTTCTCAATCAGTTAACTATGATATCATAAACAGGAAAAACCTCATCAAAACCTTTCCATTGGAGGTGTACTTGCATGGGTTTTCACAGTGAGTGGACTCCTTCTTTTATTCTTCAACAGCACATTTACACATTTAAATCATTGCTACTAATCACAGCCAGAAGTGGGACCACAGGCAACAGTCACTCTTTTAGCATGTCTATTCTATCTGTTTGGTTTAGGATAAGATAATCTGTGCCCCAGAAAGGTGCCTCTCTCTCCCTGACAGTAAAGGTACCTAAAATAAGTTTAGGTGTAGACATAAACATTAGTTCAAATTAATTCCACTAAGTCTGTGGGTTTCTTTAGGCATCACACTAGCAGTTGAATACCACTGGAGAAACAATTACGGATCTAGCCATAAAATACATATGATTTTACTATCTAGATTCAGCAGATGGAAGGAAAGGATCAATATAGCCACATGTTCTGAGCGCTGTAACTTCACAAAGGCTTTCTTCTGTGATCATATTTGGTGAAATCACTTCAACAAATATGAGGATTTCACCCAAAATGTATCAAGATACTCTACCTGATGAGCCCAATCCTGGCCCAACTCCCTGGAAGGTGACAAAACCGTATCTATGCAAACTAAGATGAACTTTTCTTACATCATTTCTAGTTGTCTCCCATATACATGTTTTTCAACAAATAAATGCATTAAGTCATGTTGTTTAAACTGCTAGTGTCTGAACTGTTGTATTTCTATTCTGGTTTTCACTTTCTGAGATTCTTTAGTGATAATTTGTGGGGAACAAAGCCATTTCTGGCTTAACAGTCTTTCAGCTCCCCCCACCAAACCCACCAAGAAGGAAGAACAAAAACTAGCTTGACTCAGGAGAGGATACAGGGAAGTGAAAGCCCTTAGAGAATATACACCAACTCTAAGAGGATATATAACCAACCCTAAGTCCTCCCTTAGCTATTTCACTGCAACAAGCCAGTGTGTCCTGGTTTTGGCTGGGACAGAGTTAATTTTCTTCCTAATAGCTGGTACAGTGTTGTGTTTTGGATTTAATATGAGAATGATGTTGACAACACAGTGATGTTTTTAGTTGTTGCTAAGTAGTGTTCATACTTAGGCAAGGATTTTTCAGCTTCTCATGCGCTGAGAGCAAGATGGCTGGAGGGGCACAAGAAGTTAGAAGGGGACACAAAGAGGAGAGCTGACCCCAACTGGCCAACGGGATATTCCTTACCATATCACATCATGCCCAGTATATAAACTGGGGGGAGTCGGACGGGAGCCAGGATCACTGCTCAGGGTCTGGCTGAACATCAGTCAGTGGGTGGTGAGCAATGGCACTGTGCATCACTTGTCTTTCTTGGGTTTTATTTTTCTCTCTCTTTGTTATCTTCCTTTTCATTATTATTATCATCATTATCATTATATTGCATTTTATTTCAATTATTAAACTGTTCTTATCTCAACCCATGAGTTTTACTTTTTCTTCCTTTCCGATTCTCCTCCCCATCCCACCAGGGTGGGGAGGGGTGGGAAGGAATGAGCAAGCAGCTGCATGGTGCTTAGTTGCCAGTTGGGGTTAAACCGCGACACTTATCTCAGTATTTCAATCTACAGCAAGAAACTGTCACTCTGCCTTCCAAACTACAATATTAACTCTAAATTTGTGTGTTCCCACTGCTCTTCACTGTTCTAAATACACTGAAAAAGTGAGCAGTATTAGGATCTTAAAATGTATCTATCACATGTTTATCATGGATCTCTGTACTTTCATTTTTTTCAGGAACCTCTAAGTTCCCTCAGTTTCAAGGTCACCAACACAAACCAACCAGATAACCTGCTTTTTTGTATTCTGTTTTTTTCTTTGATAACCACAGGATATAGGCTATGAAAAAACATACAAATTAGAAATCCTGCCAAAGATGTGTGACACAGTTTTTCTGCTTACCACTCCCAATACAAGTGCAGATGAAATTCTTTATTTTCAAGAAATGTTGCTGAAGATGGACACAGTCAGGCTTACTGGTGACATCTATCAATTCCCGAATTTATATCCTAAGTCTAACATACCAACAAACACACATGAACACGCCAACACACACATACACATTTTAGCTATGTATGCTATGTCTCAGCAGGACACTTCTGTTTTAATTGGAAAACTTCTGATTTTTCTCTAAGTCAAAAAAAGTGGATAATACACCATACATATATTACATTATTTTCACCTCTTGCTTCTTGCATATTGTCAGTTGTAACATATAATTTAAAAAATCCCTAAATTTTAAAAGTTTGCAAAATCTGTTCACATGTGTTGTCTTACTTTTCTCAAAAATCTGAAGTATATTTGTCACTTTGTTCACTAAAACTGCTTAAACAGTCATAAGCACTCTGAAAATCATTTCCCACATAGCTTACAGATACTTATCTCCAAATTAAATAGTTGAAACTGAAGAAGGTAAACAAAAATATACTTAGATTGTTTGCCTTCAAAACCAAAACTTTAACCTATTATAAGTGCTCTGAAATGAAACTAATTCCATTCTAATCAGAATTCTCATTTTATCTTAAATCAATTCAGTAGTCCACAATAGCCCACAGTTTTTCCCTATCAATAGAAACTACTAGAAGTCCTGTCTCTGCGGAAAACTGTTTTGGCATATACTCTTCTGTACTTGCTGAAATGTAACTGCTTTAACGTGCTTGTCAATAGTGAGAACCACCATCTAAACTAAGCCCAAGATCACATTAAAATCCAATTTAAAAAGTCCCCTTATGCCTATTGCTTCAGTGGTGAGACCTGTGAAGAGTTCCTGCATGAGGATTGCAAGATTCTGGCATGTACCTTCATTCTGATCATAACAGAAAAATGAGTATCTGTATGGGCCTAAAAGAAAGAAATTTTGGAAAAAAAAAAAAAAAAAAAAAAAAGTTGTTTCACAGTGGTCAAAGTATATTCTTTTAATTAAGAAACTTTTTTTTTTCCATAATAAAAATGCTTTCATTCAAAACTGAGTTTTAAAATGTAGTAGCATAATACAGTCCTAGAAAATTAAACAAAAAAGCAGAAATCCAAAACTTAGTTCCAAGTGAATGCTTTGATATAATCAAAACCTTTCTTCACAGTTTCTTGCTTAAGCAAATCAGCAAATCAAGACACTTCACAAAGGATTCAGACATTTTTGTGTTTTCCAACAAATACTTATCTTAACAAACTTCACCCTAGTAGTTTTACTTAAGGTCTTTTCCAGCTGTCTCCTTCTTCTACACATAAGACTGTTTCCCTCGGCTCTGAAGTTTACATTTTTTTCATACTCATTTTACACAGTCCTTGTAATTTACTGTGGATTGACTGTCACTACTCCAAGTCCTTAAAATAGTCACAAAACCGCAAGGACCATGAATTAAGGCTGGAGTTCTCACAGCTTTCCTCTCTTTTGTCCTTTTTTTCAGACTCTATGACAACCTCCTTCAGTAGCCTGGCAATTCAGGTATGCTCTCTGCCTATCCTTCCCCATGCCAAAGTAAGTCAGAGCATGCATTTATACCACTTTTTAGGTGCTGGCAGTAGAGTGAGTTGTTAGATTTAATAATTTTTAGCACCATATTTAGTGAAATGACCACACAGGCGGCTGGTCAAGGACATCAACAAAGCCAAAACTAAAGGCCAAACTCAGACTTGATATGAAGAGCACAGGTCTGTAACAACAGACAAGCCCGTGTCAGGTATTACCTGATGTTAACCCCTACACACAAAAACTGAGCAGCTGCCTTCACCTGTGCTACTTCAGACAAACGTCTGTCCTCTATAATGCACCACCTTTGCATAACCTTGCACAGCAAAGTAGCCAAACTACCATATTCATCACCCCCAAAGACAATACTCTTAAGGTTGGGTTCAACATACACAAATGAATTTTTCTCGTTTTACCTAGATAAAGAGTACCCCACAGTTAAAAAAAAGATCACATAAACCCTAAAGAAATATTCTACCAGTAGACTTTTCATTTATAATACTTAGAATTTAGATACCGTGACTCAGTACTTTTTAAATAATATCAGTAAGATGATAATAATAATAATAATGATACCTGGAAAAATAAAACATAAAGTTTTCAGCTTCCAGGTTAACCTGGAAGTTAACAACTGAAGTGTAGCTTAAAACTGTGAACTATTGAACTTATGTCTGCAATGTTACTGAAGAAATGTGAAGAGCATTTTTCAGTATCCACAGTCCCATAACCTTTACGAAACAGGCAAGAACCTTAAAAATATTACCTGGAGAATGGCACAAATCATTACATGCAAAATAATCTGCTTACAATTAATTATTGCTTCAATTGTAAAGGCTGAATTGCAGTTTTGGTGCAAGTTCATCATGTGAACTCCATGCAGCAAACCTTTCACCTAGTCCTTCAGTCTTTCATGGTGGTCTAAGGAAGATTACCACTAAACAATTGAGGCCCACACTTATTTCTCCTTTTGACTCATGAAGTTCTACAGCAGTAAGAAATCAAATCCAATTATTTCTTCTTTGAACAGCTCCAAACATGCAAAGGTTTGCACAGAAAACAGAGTTCAACTATGCCACTCTCTGTTTATTACTTTACTACACAATTAGACCCCTCGGCAGGCCTCATTAGCGTGAGATCCACTGAACACAGTAAGGAAGAACAAGGCTGGTGGAGAAGACAAGCAAATGTTTCCTTTTACTTGGCAGTGGACAGAAGGATTGCCTATCACTCATTTTTGCCTAGGTAATTAATCACAAACCAGCAGAAATGCTACCTGCCTTATCAAAAGGTTTACAGAACCTTTAAAAGGCTGCAACTGCCTAAAGCTATCTGTAAATATTATAGGTCTGCCTGGACGGTTATTGTGAAATGAGGTGGAAAATGACACCACAGTTAATGTAATTCCCTGCACCTCCTTTGTACAGATGCCACTAGCGTACAAAGACAAAGAAATTAGCTTCTCCATACCCAAGTGCAAAGGCAAGATGTTCACCCATTGGCTTCTGTACCCACCTGTGAGTGACAGAGTAATTCCCAGAGTCACTGAGTTCAGCTGGCCAAAACTCCAGAAAATTCATTTGGGAAACAATCCTCTGTGTTTCCTTTATCAGTTGCTGCTTTCCAGCATTTTCCTTGTACCAGTTTATTGTGTATGCTTCATCCTGAAAATGTTCTTGCATTGACTCAAGATAACAAAGGAAAAAATATTCCCCTTCTAGCACGTCAATGGAGGCGCGAAGGGGACACAGCTTCTCTTCAGAGAAAGAGGAAAAAAAGGTACATTAGGAAGCCAAGTACTTCTTTCAGAAAATTACATTAGCCTGACTTTAAAGTGATTTGCTGTGCTGCTGGTCTTTTATAAAACAACTTTTTTTCAGCAGAGTGGTTTGGCAGTATTTATTTATTCCATCAATACTTATCAGAAAACTCAGTTTTCCAAGTCTTTACCTCACCCAGGCAAAACCATAAGGAAAAGAAGGGTAAAAAAAAAAAAAAAAAAAGACATTTCCCTAAGATCCTTTCACATGGATCCAACAGTTTCAGAATCAAATGGGCACAAATGGCAGAATCTGGCCTCATTCTACAGAAAAGCAGCTGCCACAAATGGAAGGGGAAAGGAGAAATACTTCACATATGGTTTGACTTGACAACTATGGCTAATCCTCAGAACTGGTCAACTGCCATAAAAGCAGAGATCCTATGAATTAACATTTGCATTTTCTTAATCTTCTTATTTAAAACTAAATCATTATGTAGCTAAATTTCTTAAAAACTTCAGATGTCTTGATGAAAGTTGCTTTGGAATGAGACCGTATGTGTAAAATTTACTCTCAAAGTCTGCTTTTCCAACCAAATTTCCCAAATGTACCTTTGCATACAGAAGTCATAAAAAATACAGAAAAGGATCATCGTCTAGCATTAACAGTCAAGAATAAAATAAGCCTTCAGTCTCTATTTTTTATGAAATTATTGTTGTTTAGCAATCATTGTGACCAGACCAGACTTCTGAATGGCACAAAAAAAAAAGCAGACTCATTCCCTTCCTTGTTGTGGCTCTTCATACAGCCATGCTCTCATAAAACATCATCAGGTGACTCCAAGTAGCATCTCTGCTCTTTTTATTTCATAATGTGGGTATTTTGGACCACATTTCCCAAGTATGGAGCCCGTCTGAAATTCCAAAAACCTTTAAGATTTTGTTCTTAGATGCAAAATACAAAACCTGCCCCACTCTAAGCAACTGTCAAGAATATGCCACATGTTCAGCAAGTATTTTGAAGGTCCTACTATTGAAACGAAGATTTATACTTACCAGTGGCAGATTCAATGATAAATATTAAAAAAAATATCATCAGAGTCATTTTCTTCAGTTACTTCTCACTTCTTCTCCAGAAAACTGAAACTAAATTGTTCTTGTTTGCTCTGAAAGCCTGAGAAAAACAGATTCACAATTCATCACAAGTTCAGTGAAACAGATTCCTCTGAGCATGTAACTTGTCTGGTACTGAAGAGGGCTTTCCAAATGGAAAGTTACACAGTTTTAGCATAACATCTATTTTCATACAACAGGTAATGTATCTAGATTTTTCTTGGCAAGTTTATTTTAAATTCAGAAAAGTACTGCAGGGTTTCCTTCCTCCATTTTCTGGTTCACTTGATGTATTTCACATTTCTGATTAAATTGACAATCTTACAGAAGCACTCAAACTTAGATCCCAAGCCAGTAGACAGCTACCACAGGATAGGACAGTGCTTTTTTCTCCACTGAGAGTATAAACTTTGCAAGACCAGACCTTGTAGAAACAGCAAGTAGAAACTTCCCTCATCTTCAATGAGAACAGCACAATGCTGATAGATTGGACAGCTTGATGGTTAATTTTGAGCCTGTTGGAAAACAATGAGATCTACAATTTTGTCTCACCGTTTTGTCAGTGGAGCCAATATGCACCAGCTGAAACTACTAATGTTTCCACCGAGGGGGAAGAGAGGAAGAAGACCACATTCAGCTGTTTGGTATGTAGTCAGCTGTGCTTTCAAAGGCAAATGGAAAACACCACTAAACAATACCAGCATAGAGTATCTTCTTTGAGATTCCTCAGAACAGCATGTTAACTGACAACCAAAGGCAGAACTAGACCTAAGACTGTGCCTCCGTACACAAATGTACACACACGTACACACACACATACACACACACACACACACTGTATTTCACAGAGAAAGACAAAAGAAATCTCATTAGCATTCCGTTAGTTTGGTTTTATTACCTAAACCTGTTGCAATTTGAGAAAGCACATACTTACTGCTGTAAGATACTGCCCTGAAATTTACAGTCAGAAACTTCCCGTGATCTAAAGTGGCCAGAGGCAGGAGGCTACTGCATTTCCAGCAATATTCCAGAATGACATCAAACTGTGTAGCTGCTCTCCCTCTCTTATCGTACTCCCCAGTTCATTAGAAGTATGCCATAATCCCAAAGATCACTGTAAAGAGATGAAAGAAGTATTTCACATCCCTTTTTTTTCAGATTGACTGGTAGGCAGATCTAGATTTAGAAAGGAGCTAAAAGAAACGGGATGCTGAGTACTGCAACAGGCAACTTTACAGGGTCATACAGTAAACTCGCCAGACCTGGTTTCAGTTCCCCTCTACACATGGAGATTCAAGCTGCCACACTTTATAAGGAAAGAAGATCCGCTCTGTTTTAATTTCTTGAATTTATTTTTCATTTTTTACCCTATCACATACAGAAGAAATACAGCCGTTACAGACCATGAAACTATGATCCACTACATAAAATCATTTATCACCAGATTTTTAATCTTAAATCCCATTCTTTGTTGGCACATCACATCAGTACACAGTGGAAGTTTTGTTGAATGCAGAGTAGAGCCCTTCATTCTTTTATCAGGGATTAAACAACACAGCATAATGCAAGCTACTTAGTAATAACCAGGTTTGAGATTAGTGGCTACTATTAACAAGCAAAACACAGGTCCTTAATCTTACTCTCACACTGCTGTTGAACCTGATCAATTTGTCTGAAATTGTTCTACTCTAAGCTAACAGAATTTACATTTGAGCTGTATGGTTTGCAGCAATCTGATGAAACGCTAGGAGGGGGAAAAAGAGGGGAAAAGATAGATAAATGCTTTTGGTGGAAGTCAGCTAATATAAAGACATTGTTCAAGGAACAGGATAAGATTTTTAATTTTCAGAAAGAAATTGAGAGTTATTTTAAAGGCAAAGGTTCTCTGCCTAATAAAGGAGTACAGAAATACTCAATAGGCAAAATGTGAAGGCAGCAGTGGGAAATTACTTCTTCAATGAAAAAAGTATAAAAAAACAGTTGCCTGTAAGGCCCAAAGTGATAATAGCTTTAAGCATGTTTTTCAAATTTCATACATGCTTAAAGCCATTGATGGAATTTTAATAATAAAAATGGTTCTTAAAAATCATTGTGCCATTGTTAAGCCAACAAAATCTTTAAACAAACTGAAGGTTTAAATTCTGTAACATGCATTAATGAACTAGACATTTGTGTGTGCTTAAGCATTATTATAATTATTCCTCATTTTCCTAGAACTACCAGAAGATTTTGCAATGAAAGGGGGATCGAAGTGATGCTCAGTTTTGGTCAACTCATTTTGATCAACGCTTTTGGAAACCTGAATTTGGTCCCAAAGTGTTGTGACTTCCTTTTTCTAAAATCAACAGATTCTTCTAAACATCAGACTGTTTGAACAAACATCTTGGCATCAAGGGAGGAAAGCACCAATCTTACCTCTTTAAGAATGACTACTTGTGGAATTTAAGTCTTTTTCAAATATCACCACACAGTGCCAGAATTCATGTAGGATTCATGAAGAAAACAAAAGGATCTAGCAAACAGTTGCCTTAACCATATTAAGTCCAAGTACCATTCTGCCAGGATGGCAAATCATTGGTAAAAATGAAAATCCATCTTCATTTCAAACAAGGTAAGTAAGGTTGTTTACTTACTATGCAAGTCTTGCCAGGTAGAAAGCAGATGCAGAGGCAGTCTTCTGAACTCCAGAGTTACAATTTGTACTTACAACTCTTCTGAACTTCATTCATAACTGAAACAGAGAGTATGAAACAGAGAGTAATCTCCCCAGTGAGTGAGTCAATACATAGCTCAATCTGAAAAACCTCCTGAAAAAGGAAGAGTGGAATTTCTCACTTTGTGAACTGTTGACTGCAAGGAGGAAAATGGAAAAGGTAGATGTGAGAAATTAGTTTTTACTAGCATTAATGGAAAGGTAATAGCAAATTACAAATATTAACTTTCCTAAACGAGGCATTTGAGGGCTGATACACATGTTTTAGGCATCATCTTTTGCTGCTACCACCTCCAGCAGCACTTCTGGAGCCTGGCCGGCTCCGAAGGCACCCGGGTGTGAGGGAAGGGGCCGGCGGCAGCCCCGGGGAGCGCGACTTCGCAGTGCCAGTGAGGGGGCTGCGTGTTGAAATAAGCCCTTTTCAGAGCTGAATTATTTATGACATCTCTGCAACAGGGAAAAAGTTATCATGGTCCCGGGGAGGGGGGGGGGGTCGGGAGAGAGATGCCCGAGCCAGGCAGCTCAGGGGACCGTGGCAGAGAAGGGGGGGGGGGGGGGGCGACACAGGCAGGGTCGGGGGCCGGCAGGGTTGAGGGTCAGGAGGGGTGTTCCCCCCCCTCACACACACAGCCCCGCAGAGGTGCCCCCCTCCTCAGAGACAGGCGCTCGCCTCCTCCGCGGGAGGGAAGAAGGAGCTCCCCGCGCCCGGCCCTCGCTTCCCCCAACCCGCCCGCCCCTTCCTCCCCTTCCTCCTCTTCCTCCCCTTCCCCCCCTTCCCCTGCCATCGCCCCCCCCCCCCCGCCCCGGGCTGCCCCCCCCCCGCCCCCGGGCCATACCCCGCGGCCGTTCGGCGGGAGCTCCGGGCCGCGCCGCCCCCTCCAGCGCCGGGCAGCGGGGCCCGGGGGGGGGGGGGGGGGGGGCGCGGTGGGGCCCGGGGGGGGCGCGGAGGGGCCCGGGGGGGGCGAGGGGGGGCCGGTTCCCAGTTTCGATGGAAAGAAGCGCTGCCCGAAGCTGGAGCAGGCCGGGGCCGGGGCGCGGAGAAGGCAGATGGAAGCATTCCGAAGCTTACCAGGGGCGCTGGGCTGCCAACCGGTCGTGAGTGAAACCCAGAGGTGCCCCCCCACCCCACCCCCCCCCCCCACCAGCGAAGGGGGTGAAGTTCAACTTTTTGGGGAGACGGGTGGGGGGGTTGTCTTGCCTCTCACAGCCTCCCCGGGGGACAAAAAGGTGTAACGAAGTGATGTCTTCGGTTCTCTTTAGTCGAAACGCCTCTTCCTCCGCTTTTCTGCTGAATGCTCGCTGCAGGACTCTTTTCCAAGAAGGGCGATGGAGGTAGGATGGAGGTTTAGGAACGCGTATATTAATCTAAATATAGCAACTGTTCTCTCTGGAACAGTTTCCATCCCCCCCCCCCCCCGCTGGCTCTTTTGAGAATGAAGATGTGCAAAGAGATAAACTGTATCCTGAAAGGCTGATATTCTGTGAAGACCTCAAAAGAAAAAAAAAAAAATCTATATTAAAAAAAAAAAAAAAAAACCAAATCCTAAAACATTACAAAATACGGTATGCAGGAAAAGAGACAAAGCAAAACACATGATCCTACAATACTTTGATCAGAAATGTCCTGATTCCAGTGCTATTTTTTTCTGTGATAGCATCCCTTTCAGGAAGAGAGCAGTGCAAGCTTTCAAGACATGAAGCATTTTATAAAAGCTCCATTACTGCAAAGGGAGTGTATGGATTCACTTCTAAATAAGCCTTTGTGCCAGTACCTGAGCCTGCTTTTTAGCCAAATGTTGATATACTGGAACTGTAGTTCCACCAGGGATTTCTGACAGCCGTATTTCCTATATAAGTACTGTTCCTGAGTAAATGAATGTTTGCCACTGTTTATTTCACATGAACGGTTTATTTGATATGTACTTTGCAGTGATTCACTGTATTTCTAAATAAAGTTATTTTGATAGCAGCAGGAGAAAAATCATCCCATCAGGATTTCTTTTATTTTCATATCACCCTTTTTATCTTCAGAAACCTGTTTGGTGACAGATACCCTTCTTTTTTTTACCCAGGACAGCTGGGAATGTAGAAGTTCCCAACAGCAACAGGAGGTGTCACTTCAGAGGTAAAACAAGCAGGTTACACTGAAAAGGAGGGATTTCATGGAGCTAGCTTTTTTGCATATTTTACTGCTGAGGCGAAGCAAAGAAACCCTGGAGAGTTTTACTGTCTCACCTCATTGGTTTTCCACATCACACAGATTGAAACAATTGTATATAAAAGCAATCAGACCATTAGCTAATGTAAATCAGCACTTCAGGAAAGACAGCTAAGAATCTGATACAGTACAATGACTTTAAGAAACTGTACAAGATACTTTGCAGTGGGTTTTGGTTTTATGATTCATTGCCTGATTTTAAAACTTAAAAGAAAGCATATATTGTAAAGAGGATGGTGATTTTACGTGAGAGTCCGAAAGCAATTTAGCAGCCAACAAATAAAATAGTAAAGAGAAATGTCACCAGCTTTTTTTTTTTGACAGACTAAGTCTTGATAGTGACAGTTTGGAAACTTTTTCAACTCTTTTAAAACAGTATTTTCTGTGAGCTGTTCCCATATTCATTTGCTTTCATATCCTTTTGAAATACTCTCAAGTTTCTGAACTTTCATTTGTATTGTAGAAAGTGCTGTGTTCAATTAGTGCTTTCAATGTCATAGCTAGCTTTGAGATATGTGAATGTATAAGAAAGGAGAATAAAGTTTACACTTTTTAGTTCTCAGATTAATACAATTTTAATGGAGAAGTCATAGGCTCATAATAGAGAAGAAACTCAACCAAAAATAGCTACAGCTTAGATTTTCATTATGAAATTACCATGATGAAAATGAAAGTTTACACTAATACTGAAAAACAGATTTTTGTCTGAAGCTCTGGTCACCTGACCAATCAGCTAGGGAAGACCAATTACTTCTCACGGTTTTTCGCATCTTTCCAATCAACATACACTACACAGAGGCCTTAACTGAAAATCTAAACTGTGAAACTATTTCCGTCATAAATAGCAACACATCCAACTCTTGTAACCACAGTCTAAGCCTGTTTGCTTCTAGCTGGCAGTAGACCTTTTTAAGCTACTTCTGTCATCTCTGTATAACAGAGACTGTATTAATTTTTAGCAGAGATTAAATTATATTCCATAGTTTTTTCAGCATTATCTGTCCTTGATGACAAAAAGCAGATTCCAGACTGATGACATGTCTGTTAGAGCCTCGTATGTTTGTCAAAGGTTTTAAAACACGGAAGTTGCACACTTTCAGACTTTCTTCCATGTCATACCATCACAGAATAATTCAGGTTGGAAGGGACCTCTGGAGTTCATCAGGTCCAGCCCCTGCTCAGGGCACGTACAGCTGAGATCTGAACACCTCCAAGGATGGGCATCCCACAGCCTCTCTGGGCATGCTTTCCAGCATTTGACCATGCATATGGTGAAATCTTTTTCCTAATATGTAATTTATATTGCTCGTGTTCTAATTTGTTCCAGTCACTTGTTTGTCCCCTCACTGTGCTCCTTTGAGAATGAGCCTGGCTCCATCCTTTCTCTACCTTTCTATTATATTCTTGTAGACAGAAACAGGGCCTCTTGTCCTCCCCCTCTATGTCCTGTGCTCTTGGTGGTCTTTCCCTGGCCTCACCCTAGTATGTCAGTGCCTCCCTTGTACTGGGGAGCCCAAAACTTGACACGGTACTCCAGAGGTGATCTCCCAAATGCTGAATACAAGGGAATAATTACTCTTCTCAACTGCACTCTCACTAGTAAGGTGCAGGGTGCAGTTGGTCGCCTCTGTCACTAGGACACCCTGCTGACTTAGTGTCAGCTGAGGTCAGGTTGACCTTAGTGTCAGCCAGGACACCCAGTCTCTTTCTGCAAAGCTCCTTTGTGTTGACCTCCAGGCTGTGTGGTTGAATGGGTTTATTCCATCCCAGATGCAGCACTTTGCATGTGCCTTGTATTGAACCTTGTGAGTTTCCCATCAGTCCATTTCTTCAGCCTGTTGCTGTCTGAAACAGCAGCTCTGTGCTCCACTGTGACAACTGTACCTCCCTAGTTTGGTTTTCTGTCTGAAAACCTGTTGATTGTGCAGCCTGTCCCATTGCTAATGTGACCCAAGGTCACTAATAAGGATTTTAAACAGTAGTGGTACTAATATCAGTCCCTGAGAGATGCCGCTAGGAATTTGCTCTATGCTGATGTTTCTAAGTTGATCACAACACGTTGCTCCCCCATGGACTTCAATCCCACTGCTTTTCCACTCACCAGTGACCACTTATCTGTATCTCACCAACAAAGACTGTGTCAAAGGCCTTGATCAATTCAAGGTATGCAGCAGTGTTCTCCCATTTTCCACAGTATAGCTGGATATTCATGATGTGCCTTTTGTAAAACCAGTCACTTTCTTCTCCTTCGTGTACTTTGAAATGGTTTCAAGGAGGACTGCTTCATAATCTTCGCAGGAGATCTATAAAGACTGCAAACAGTTTTAAAGAATAAATTGCTATACACCAAATTCTCTCTTTCATATAAAATTAGGCATTGTAGTGCACGTTTTTAAGTGGGAAAAGGGAACACATGAACAGATGTTTCTAACACAACACCTGTAGTTTTTCAGCCCTTGAAAGAGGAACATACAGTTGAACAATTTTTCAATAGAATATACTATAAATTTTACATATTATCTTCCAAACTTACCTTTGTCCAATGCTGTAAAAAATTAATGTTGCACACTGCAAATAGTATCTTGGTACAAAAACTTCTAAAAACTTCCTTCTAGTGGTCAGTCTCTTGGGTTTCACAGCCATGTGAAGCACATACAGGTAAAACTCTCTCCCTGTATGTGGCAGGAGCAATAGCTAGGCTGGCTTTTCAGGGCTGTTATTTAAGTGAAGAAGCCAGCAGGGGTCATGGGTCATTGAGATGTAGAAACATCAAATCTCAACAGTATAGAAGATCTCAAGGCCAAAGCATTAAATATGTTCATACAAAGGGCCGGTGTATATTAAATGCACGTATGGAGAGAGCAGTACTTTCTACGTGCTGCCTGCAGTTATCCTACTTCGTACTAGCAGGAGATGGTTTTCATACCTTGGAAGTCACCAGGAGCTTCACCACTGACATCAGTGTCAATTAAGTCAATGCTTATTCCTGTCTCTTCCTTATTTCTTTATTACCAACAATGCAGCATATACTTTTCAGATATGAAGCATCCAGAAGTAAGATTTTACAACTGGGGACTTACAATTCTGTATGACCGCAGTTAGATGGCAACAAGACACTTTTGTTCCTTCATAATATGCTACTATAAGAGAGTCAGCACTATACTCTCAATGCCAGATCCCGAGCTGCTGTTTACAAGTAATGCTGTATGGGTTTCAGGAGATTACAGCAGTATGCACACCCTGAAAATGTCACTGTGTTTAATGCTATTAGACTGATTTCTATTTGGTCAGAATCTCCTACTGCCTGTTCCTCCACTAGATGGCAAGGTGACTCTGCTCTATTAACAAGTGGGAGCAAATCTGCTCTCCCGAGTCCCTTGAGGTACCAAACCAGGGAAGTACAGGGCAGAAATTACAGGTCATTAAATCTCTACATGGAAGCTCTAATTCAGCAACAAAATTACCTCTGTGCTGTGTAGTTTAATCTTTAAGCATCCAAACTGATTCTTTTGTGAGTTTTCTATGGTTAAAGGAGAGACTTTTTGCGTAGTGCAGGCTGTCCTTCTGTTATTCCACTAAGGTAGATTACCTAGTGTAAAAATCACCAATTTTCTTTAAAAGCATGTTTTTGAAAATTTAGATTGTTTGTAAGTCACATATGACAGAATCACAGAATGGTTGAGGTTGGCAGACGTGGAGGTTATCTAGTCCAAGCCCCATGCTCAGGCAGGGCCACCTAGAGCCAGTTTCCCAGAACCGTGTCCAGGCAGCTTTTTAATACCTCCAAGGATGAAAACTCCACAACTTCTCTGGCAACCTGTGCCTGTATTGGGTCACCCTCACCGTAAAAAGTGTTTCCTGATGTTCAGAGGGCACCTCCTGCGTTTCAGTCTGTGCCAGTCACCTCTGGTCTTGTCACTGGGCATCACTGAGCAGAGCCTCACTCCATCTTCTTTGCACCCTCCCTTCACATGGGAGCCTTCTCTTCTTCAGGCTGAAGAGTCCCAGCTCTCTCAGCTCTTCTTTGTAGGAGAGATGCTCCAGTCCCTTCCCTAAATTCAAGGCCTTTTGCTGGACTCTTTCTAGTATGTTTGTGTCTCTGCTGAGCAGCCCAGAACTGAATATGGGGCTTCAGGTGTGGCCTCAGTGGTGCTGATGTTGTAATGATGTTGTAAAAGCACTCCACAGTTCTTTTTGTGCTTTCTCTTTACAAATGTGATAACATCTGTAGAAAAACATTCATTTTAATGCATATGTCAGATTTCTTTACTAAATACCAAGGAATAAGAAAAGAAGTGACAACTTTGGCATTTTTTGGTAATTGTTACAGTCACATACTTACCCCCTGGTTCTGTAAAAGTTCTATGCCACACTCAGAAATTGCCCCTTTTTTTTTCTGTCAAGGCCATACTGTTCACTGCTGGTAAACTGCAATAAGAGTTGTCAGGTTTTGCTTGATACTGTTCTCATTTTTTTCTGGGTTGACCATGAGGTCAAGAGTCACTCGGTGAGTTTTGTTTTTACCATCATAAATACATGCCTGGCTACCAGAAGTCAATGAGATATCATTATGTTTCAGAGTAATTTGGTTCATTGCTGATGCTGTGCACTTCCTCTTATCCCTTTCCAGCTTCAAAATTTTTCCTAGACTTTTTGTTTCCAAGATACTCAGTTATCATTCTTTCCTCCTTGTTAAGTGCCGAGGACTCAAACTCTATTAAAAATTGACCTTGTGATAATCTTGGAAGTGAATATTCTGTCTTGCTCAGAAGCTGCTGTGAAAAATCTTTGTAGTGTAAAGCAACAGGCTTTCCTGGCTTTACACATGCCTTAGTATTAATATTCTTTCTGTGGGAAGAAATGGTACTGTAGGAATAAACCAAGTCCCTTACATCGGCATGAATCCATTTTGTGGAGCTTCCACGGAGTTAGTAAGGTTTATCTAGAGGGATCTTTAAGAACAGGACCCAATTCTGCATACAATCTGAGGCAATAATAAAATGCAACGTTAGATGTTGTATAGTTGTGGTGAAGTAAGTGATGACTGCATGAATGCTTGAAAATATAACTCATTAGTGAAAATCTTTTTAGTTTGTCATAAATCTTTTAATTTAATGTTGAAAAAAAATCTATACAGATATCGCGTACACATTTTTCTTACTCCATATAGCCATCCATAAGTCTGAAGATCCACATTCAATAAAAACTTACAGTAAAAGGAAAGGCCTTGTCTGTTCTGTAAGCCTGGACTTGGTAACATTAGGTGTTCTGCATCTAATTTTCACTTTTTAAGTCCATTCTGTAGCAAGCCTGAAGCTCAATTCCAAGCCTTGTCCAACAGTAAGAAAATTCCTGGTTTTAAGAAGCTATAAAGTTGAAGTTTGCAAGGATTTCTGTACTAGAACATATTTTGTTCATACTCCCCTGAACTAGGAGATTTGGCTCTGACCTTTGCACTGCAGGGTATTCCCTATCAGAAGAAAGTATAACTAGGCATAAGGTCGGGGCAGGGGAAAAAAAAGTGGATACTGCCTGTTATAAAGATGCAGTCTCTCCTTTCAGTAGCTTAAAAGAATGCCATCAGTGTACAAAAAAACGCCCTGAATTTTAAAATGTTATTTCCATCTGGAGATAATAACAGTAATGTCATGGTGTGTTATACCCAAAAGATTTAAAATTTCTCCTTTGTGCAAGATTCATTTCTATATATGTGTGTGTGTGTGTGTGTGCAAAATATTAAAAAATGCATATAAATATATATCAGTGTATACTTTTCCCTTAACACTACTTTTTTTTTTTTTTTTTGTGCTGTATTCACATCAGTCTCAAAAGATCCTTTACTGATGCATCCATACTAAGGAAAAATAAAATCTCATGGTATGAGTATTTCTATTGAATCAAAAAGGAATAAGTGGTGGAAAAAAATAACAAAAGCATATTATACTTTCTAGTTGCAGAATACACATTATACTTTCTAGTCAAATAATACAGAAGGCATTTATGTTTGATCAACTGCATTAGAATGGTAAAGCAAACCTGCAGGGCATTCGGCTATTCAGAATCATAACTTTCAGGTATATGTACTACTATATATAGAAAGAGTATAGGTACATTTTGTTTCCTGTGACACGCAAATTCTGCACACAGCCTAGAATGATTTATTTGCAGAACTCCCATACCTATAAAAACTTCTCTCAATTCCCCAGACCTCTTCCATCACTTCAGCATATCATTACTCAGCTGAAGGACTGGGAAAATTTCAGAATTACAGCCAGACTTCCAGACGGTAAGTTCGTGTTCCTACTGGAAGGAAAAAGAGCTGCAGGCACGTGTCCATCCTGGTAGCGTAGCAATATTTTCATAGACTGATCACCCGGCATTAGCTGAGTATGAGGACTTGAGCATCACTGGCATGTGGTACCTCACCTGTTTCCAGAACCTAGAATTGGATGACTGTGGGTGCACAGTGTGCTGCTCTTTCCATTTGATGGTACCTTGCTGCTTAATAAGAAACCGAAGTGATTCCTGAAGTTTCTCATAAGTCCCAATGGCCTCCATTTCCAGCAGGATCACCTTTGTGTCATTCTGAATGAGGGCATTGTACAGAGCAATGTGTTGGTCATAGGCATGTTCTTTACAGTTAATCAGCTGCTGTGTTAGAAGGATGATCAGCCGTCTGCTCTTCTGCATCCTCTTCTCAATTGCACTGGCTGTATCTAGGAATGTACAAGAAAATTGTGAGACCCTGGCATTTCTTTTATAAACTCTTTTGTGTTTAAGCACTTCATTTTCTCCAGCAACAGCTTCTGTCTCACTTCAGTCTGGCCCAGTTTATCCATTATAAAAAGAGCTTAAAAAGAACCCCAAAAAACAACAACAAAAACAAAACAAAAGAAAAACAACAACAAAAAAAAACACAAACAAACAAACAAAAAAACAAAACAAACAAACAAAAAAAAAACAAATAAAAAAAAAACCCACACCAAAACCCTCCAGAAAAACAAACAAAGCTTTCCTTTCCTTTCAAATGTTTTCTTTGGTTGAAAGATTAATATTTTTACTGCTCTTAACAATTGTTAAGAATTTCTAATCCAACAACCCAGGGCCAAGTTCAGTAGACCTGGAGTGCATCAAATTCGTGCTTGGTCAATAATGTCCATGTAAGGAATCATGTTCTAACAAGTTTGGTGTTTTACAGACTGATCCTGAAATACTTACCTAGGAAAATTAGTCATGTGGAGACTTTTGGGTGACCTGCTTCTAAGAGGCTTACTTACCAGCAGGGGAGTGCTGGTTCTCCTGAGCTATAGCATGCCAATTTACACGCTAACCCATGCATTGGGTTGGCATCTGCCCCGCAGGGGTGGATCCTGACTCAGAGGGCATCTCTATGTCAGCACGACTAAAAGTGTTTTTCTTTTCCACCACTGTGTTATGGAGAGCTGATCAACCTCAACCAGAACTACGATGTGGGAGGTGTTGAACCTCGGAAACTCAAGAGCCAGCACACTATGGGAGAAACTTCTGGGACAGCTTGGAAAGCTCCACACCAAGGCTCCAGGAGCTGCTTTTCTCAGTGACCTGCAGTGATGTCTACGGGAGGAAGACTGCCGATGAATGTCTGTCCAGAGAAATGCTCAACCCAGTTAGAAGAGATTCCTGTGGTCTGTAGAATGAAAGCTGGAGTTATTTTGCTGGGAGTATGTGGTGTTGGGGTAAAAGAAAGGAGGTGCGAGCCAAACTAAGAAAATTCAATGTAACAATTATTTGATTTGCCGATGTCACCAACCAGCCATGTAGGCATCCTCTTTTCCTTTGCTGGGGGCTGCCAGCCCATTTCAAGGGTCTTCTCGGTCTCAGAGAGGCCCAGCTTCTTCAGCTCATGTGTGAGGAAGAGGACACTTTCAATGACTTCCCTGTCCTATTTCTTGGCTCTGAGAATATGCTGTGAAAACAATTTGCCTTTCTGTGGTCACCAATTCAAACAACTTTCATTTTCTTCTTTTTTTCATTAAATTTTCCTGGTGTTTGGAGAACAGATCCTTTGGAAGGTGAGAAAAATTAAGGTAAGCAGCTACTGTCGTATGTTTAGTTCCCATAATAACAACAGTTTTTAAAAAAACATCTTTCTCAGTTTTGAGGTGCGGTCCATTGTGCTCAGGATTGAAAGACCATTGGGCCTGGGGATGCATTCACTTCTCCATTTGGGTTTCTGATGACATACTGGTGGCAAGAGGAAAAATGGGTCTGCAGGCTGCATACTTTAATCGAGGGATTCATTGCAAATTGTTTTGTGAATGTTAGAAGTTTATAAGAGTTCAGAAAGTGACAGAAAATATTGTGAAAGCAAAATCCATCCTCAGCTGTTGCACACAAAAATTCAAGCATCTGAAGTCCACATGCTGCTGGGAGAGTACATTAGTGGAAGTATTTCTTAAATTCTTTTTCAATTCTTTGCCCATTGCCACAGCTGAAAATAGGACACTTGGCTACACAGAACATTGCTCCAGTGAAGTTTGATCATTCCTCTGTAATTCGCTCATGTTTTTGTGTATTTCAGATACAGCAGCTCCAGCAGTGCTTGGTTAGATCCTGCAGCAAGGAGTGCAGCTGGCAGGACAATGAGACCGTGAGAAGAATGGAGCAGGTGACGTTGGTGAAAACTCTTGGTTTGCTGGGTAATACTTGCATTTGCAACTCCTCAGGCAACTGTTAGGTCATAGAAACTACCATTAATCAGTAAGACCAAGGAAACAAAAAGAATGCCAGTTTAGGGAAGCACTATGGCAGTCCAACAGCTAGTCGGTGCTGTTTATCACTTGAATCATTTTTTCTACTGGAAGAACACAAGTTTCAAGTAAACAAAGCCTTTCTCTGCAACCAAGAGTCATAAGCATGTCCTGAAATAACAATTCCATTATATATCCTCGATGCATTTTTTTTTTCTGGAAATATGTGGAGTTTTATAGTGAAAAATATAATTCATCAAATGCTGTGATATGTGTTCAGGAAGGATCACAATAACTCAAAGTGGAATTTCCTGTTTTACTCTGTTTAGCCTATTTCAATTGTAAGGGTTTGGATTTGGAAACCTGGTAATTAAAGGCTCGAGATCAGAAGATAAACAAGAGTGGGGAGTATATGGGTAAAGTCCATCTGCCTGGAAGCAAAGAACTTTTAAGTGTTACCAGTGGCAGGCAGACTCAGATTAGCTTTTCCACACAAGTGAAAGCATTTTGGGGCAGGAAAGTGGACAAGGAAGAGAAAAGCAAAAGGCTGGAAAAGTAGGCAGGAAGGGAAAAAGAAGGACAAGGGTCAACACTCGGGGCATCTTTAGAGTTTTGATTAAATCAGACTGAACAATTCAAACAAAAGTTACTCACTGTCCAAGGCTGTCTTGGTGAGTCTTCTGTCTGGCATTCCTGGGTTACAGACATCCATTCATGCTTTTGTACAGTTAAAATGATTTTGCTTTCATCCGTCTTATTATAGCCCTGGTTAGTCCCACAGTCTTCACCTCAGTTACATGCCATGCTCAGTTTTCTTCAGGCTTGCCATCCATAAGGCACAGTTTGAGAGTAGTGTCCCGTAACAAAATGTTGTACTGTCCTTAATCATGTGAAGAGGTAGCATAAGTTTTTGTCATTGATAGTTTTGTGAGCTACTGTTAGTTCCTTGTTCTGGATCTGGGAATGGTCTGGCTCAGCAACTCCTGCAGCTTTTTTTACATTCTTGTTGCAGTGTCTCTTCCCAAGGCCAGGCAGCACCTTTGCTACTCTCCAGAAGAGAAGGACATCAAAGATCTCAGCCCAGCTCTGGGCAGATGAATGACACCCGGCCCAATGCAGATGATTTCAGAAATAGGTAACAGAAAATGTGCCAGCTTTGGCTTCATGCCAGCTTACTGACAGGGAGAGAAGATCAGGTCTACCAAATAACCAGAGCACAAGATAGACAAGTCAGCTCTGGAGGAAAGCAGATAGCACCTAGATGACAGCAATCATAGAGATAGTGTAGAGGTGTCCATATGGAAATTAGCACAGGTTAATTAACATGATTCCATTCTGGAAGACAAGCAGGAATAAAGAATATCAATTCTCTCCTGAATTAGTGCTGGGAATTGTGTGAAATGAAAGTAGGTTATGTCAGTGAACAGAAGTTGAACTTCCTGTGACTCTAACACTCTTGCAACAGGTTGAAAAACCCTGAGTGATAACAGCAAGGTTAATTCCTCAGCTTAGCTTGTGGTTTTCTTCTCTTCCGTGTCTTGTAGACCTGCTCACACACGGTTGGGTTGTGGCTTTGCCCGGATAATGGCTGTGCAGGGTTACACTACCCAAAGAGCAGGTGTGTCTTTAAAAGATTCACGCCTGGGGTCACATTTCCCGCACGACCCAAGAAGATGATGAACAATCTGTGCCCCCCCACCCTGTAGCTTGTTTTTCTTAGCACACTGGCAAGCACAGGGTGCCACGGTCCCACCCTGCCTGAAAGAGCAGACACTCAGCTGCTGAGGAGATGAGCAGCAAGCTCAGGAACATAAAGGGACCTTCTATACCCCTAGAAGGGATAGAACCACGATTTGCTCAAGCTTGACAAGTCATTCTGTGCATTATCTGATCTGAATCTTACCTTCTCCGGGATATATATCTCTCCCATAAATACACAGTTTATATCCACATTTATTTTCTAGAATATCTGGCATGATTTGGTAAACAAAATATTCCACAAAGTTAGCTTCATTGGTGTGGTTTTTGGGGTAGATAACATACGCATCATATATCTTCCCATCTGTAAGGCAAAACAAGAGGAAAGTGTATTATGTTAACATGAATTAGAGCTGTCTATTGCAAAAGCTAGAAGAGAGATAAGAATATCTGTCTTTGAAATACATCTAAGTAGAAGTTCCTGCTAATCTGAATAATGTATATGATTGGGTGCATGTTTGGAAGTTAGAGAGTGTGCACATCTGGTAGTTTTCATGCTCAGTTGTTATGTCCTGTGTGTTGGTAACTTTGGTGAACCTGTCCTTTCTATTGTGAAGGCTGTATCCCGAAGCATAGAGAGTAAGAATTCAATTGATCAATGCACACGAGCATGAAATAGAGATGAAACTCAGCACTTATTTCAGTGATACAATAGCCTGTTAACAGCCTTTGTCTTTCAGGACAAGACATGCCAGTTAAATTCTTCCACCTTGAAGAAATTACTTGTCATTCCCACATCATACTTCTGAGTGAAAAGCTCTGTTATTTGGGAAGTAGTCTTACAGTCAGAACTAAGTATAAAGTCAAATATTTATTTTCTTCATTTCTCTCAAATATGTTTTTTATTACAGCATTTTTTTACTAATCCCAAATGTTTCATTTCTTTTTTTCCAGTGGAGATGATCATATACTTTCTTTTGTTACTATCTGAGGTTTTTGTCCAGAACATCCTTACAATAAAAAACAAATAGTCATTTCCAGAGTCTGATTCATTTCACCATAAAATATACTTAAATGGAAACTTCCCTAAAAAGCATACTTCTTTCCTTTTTAAAGGGAACATAAGTAACTAGATCAGCTGTAGATATCTACCATGCAGACAACTGTGGTAAAAGTCAGCTTCAGATTTCAAAAATGTAAATTCAGGTGCCTACATGAAAGCTAGGTGTCTAAACTCCTGCTACAGTCAGTGGTGAGCTGGCCATTACAGATAGTGAATTCTAGAGTGATTCGCATTACTCTCATGTAAATGCCAGGGGCACAGCTGAATTGCCTAAACAGAGACATCTAGTGCAATTTGAGACTTCCTATGGTATCCTGCCTGATCTCCAGACCCCGCTCCAAAAGTCTGCAACATCCCGCAGATCTGTGTTATGTGTCCATTTCTTTGGCCATCCTAAATGACTCTAAATGCCCACGTTTAGACCACTGGTGCAAGATCCCAGTGCCCGGTTTAGCTCTGTTAATTTCATTAATGAGGAGCTGGATTTGCTCACCTAAAAACACGCACTACGTGGTGCTGTTAGGCACTGCCTGCCCTCCAGATGCCACTGCAGAGGGGTTCAGGTCTCCCTCGAGTCCTGTGGGAGCTCCAACGGCACTCGCTGCTTACAGTTAGACAGCTGAACCCAGCCCGACGTCTCCAGGTTTCATGTCTGTGATGAGAACTTGCATGTGTGCACCTTCATTGCATGCAACTAAATTTAGATGACTTCATCTTGAGCTGAAGCACCCCCCTAAAGTTGGATGGGATGTATTCCCCCCAAGAGTGTCTTGCATGATGTTGGTACCTTTCTCTTTGGCTTATAAAAACTGTAGTGCTCTAACACATGCCTGTTAACATATTAGCCAGCAAGATGGTTCCTCTCCTTTAGAGAGCACATAATAAGTACAGTTAATAACACTGTAAATGGGATTTTCACTGTCATTCAATGTTTCATGGCAAACACCTTTGTTAAAAAAAAATATGAAACCAGGACTGAAACACTCTTTTGTGTAATACATCACTACAGAACCCAGGAGGCAAGGGAATGTAAAGCATTGCCAGAGCTATGTGTGCCCCCTTTTACCTGTATGATTTCAGAAGGCATGAGAAAGCAAAGGATCAGGCTCAGGTGTCATATGAGTTAGTAAGCAACTATCAATCAAGTCAATTTCCATAAGATTTGCCTTTTTTTTTTTTTTTAATTTCTTGATCAATTCTTACTCACCATCCTTGACTGAGTAGGGCTGAAATATCTCCCGATATAGTAGGACGATATCAACTCGGAAGGACTCATAAAGTGTAACAGAGACTGCTATTGCAACTAGCAGAACTAGAGATCCTACAATCAAGAGGACGTTAGGAAGAGCCACTGCAAAGAAGAGGAATATATTGTTAGCCATAGAGAAGTTAAGCCATGGGCTGAAGCCTCAGCCCCTCATATGCTTACTTCTGTTGCAGCTTTAAGGAACTCACAAGAGAGATGGCAAAGATTTTTCCTTCTGTGTAGCCAACACAGACCCCTAAACTAGAAGCATACTAAGCAATATATAGTTAATATTTACTTCCATTGAATCCAGACCCACCTACATTAAATACCACAGCAGATTATGATGTTTAAGTATTTTGTATAATTTAAAAACTATTAATAACACAACCAGGAACAACATTCAAGCATTTTTCAAGGCAGCTAAGCCCATGCATGACAACTGTAAGTGTCCACAAAAGGACAAGAGGAGGCTTCTGTCATCATTGCCCAAACAGGTTACAGAGAAACATGTGCAAATAATAAAATCTGCAAGATAAGAACAAAGTACACAGAACAAGCAGGAAAACAGAACATGCCCTGGTCACAAAAACAAAATAAACTATGCTGGAGGCAGATGATGCTCTCCCCTGACTTTTCCTTTGAAAAGGGTCAAGGAACATAAAATAGCAATGACAAATAAGGAAAATTGGGAAAGAAAGGAGCCACCCACTTTAGTTCCAGCTTCCCTCATGGAAGAGGTCTTGAATCCAACCACTTCCAGCTCAGAGATGAAGATTTATCAAGGATAGATTCAGACTAGATACAAGGAAGAAATTTTTTATAATGTGGGTGATGAAATATTGGAACATGTTGCCCAGAGAGGTGGCAGATGTCCCATCCCTGGAAATATTCAAGGTCAGGCTGGACGGGGCTCTGAGCAACCCGATATAGTTGAAGATGTCCCTGCTTATTGCAGGGGGTTGAGCAAGATGACCTTGAAAGGTCCCTTCCAACCCAAACCATTCTGTGATTCAGTGATTCCATAAGGATGGCAGTCAGCAGCTCTGTGCTATCATACACATGCAGGTAAGTCTAGGACAAGAATGTGATTATCACTCTTCTATGGGAGAGCGATGTTTCTATCACAACCCAGATGGGTGCATTTCTGTAACAGCCCATTTTTGCTCTTGTTCTGTGATTCGCAGAGCAGAAGCCAATCTAAATATGTGTATGCTCTAGATGACACCTAGTTCTGCTGCAGCAATAGATGGTGGAAGGTAAAAGCAAGGTCATTTTGAACTCTCTCCAAAGTAGAAAGATGGAAGCTTAATCCACAGATTTACAGCCACAAAGCTGAAGATGATACTTTTGACCTATGTCATGGACATATTGAATTCACCCAGGATTCAGTATTGGAAAGACTAAGAATTCCAGACAGCCAAGTTTGAAATGAAAGGCTTTATACAACAATTACACAAAGAGGGCTCATTATTCCCGTGGAGGAAAGACTAATGGGAGTTGTCTCAGTAGAAATCTGCTTCTAAGCAAATGAAAGATACAAAACTCTACTCCACTTGGTTTTAAGACGTAGACTCGGAGCAGTTTCATGTAGATTTTTTCTCAGACAACTAAACCCATTAAGAGATATCCATTTGCAGTCCACCTTCTTTACCTATTTATTCCTACATAGCATGACAACTCATCATAACATAGTTGTAATAATATAACTGCTTTGGGGACTTTTCTGTGATTCAGATCACTGAAATTATTTGGAATAAAAAAATATACCTCCAGAGGTGTTGGACTTTATGATAAACTTTTACCCCCCCAAAGAAATGCACATGAAAATGTCCAGATTGTGCATCACATCTGCATAAAAGGGCCAGTCTATTTTTATTTTACTACAATGTAGCAAATATAATAATTTCCAGATGCAATACCCTGGCTTGGAATATCACTAGAAACGTGTATCCCTTCAGTGTTACAGTGAGATGTGAGGCGTGCTGCAATTTCAGAATCCTTAGCTGAGGAAAGAAATATTCCTTTCAATGCTGACCACAAATAAATTTAAATACAAGCATTCTGGCAGGACAGACATGAAGGTCACAGCCTCTCAGCCCGTGGAGGGTGATTATACATACGGGCAGCAACTCCACCCAGTCCAGCCTTGTGCATTCAGAGCAGGGATCAGATGTTCAGGGCTTTTCTTCCCTCTGCCAGGTCATTCACCAGCACTTGAGGAGGTGCGTGTCTTATAGCAAGCTGAAGAGCCAGTCTCAAATTCCTCTACAGAAGAGGCAGCAAGACAGATTAGAAAATGCTGCAGATTGTATGAAGCCGGTAAGTATGCTACCAGGGGAAGGCACTGACCACCACCAAGGAGCAAATTCAGAGCTTTCTCTTGGACCTGGCAGTAAGTGAATGAAAGAAGATAAAATATTGAGCAGTGAAGCGTCCTGTATGTTGAAATTTACACGTTCCCGGCTTCTTGTGACACTGATGTTGAATAAGGCAGTGTACTGAGTAGTACTTATGGAGGCAATCTAAAAAATATTAGTGTCTGAGAAATTTCACTGAAAAAGTATATAAATAAAGAATTTACAAGTGCATTTTCACTTTCATCTGGTAGGATGTGAGGCAAATTTGACACGATTTCACACTCTTGCTCTTTCGTTGTTTGCCATTTAAAGGGAGAGAGAAACATGGGCATGGGATGAAGCATACCTCACCAGAACTAGGAGATCCAGGGAAGCCACCTTCCAATAATACTGAAGTGGTCAAGAAAACAGCCAGTTTATTTTGTAGTGAAGTTTGGCCATTTTGTAGTTTTAACAGTGTCACGTGATGCCCATGAAGGAACTTTGTCCTTGTGGACCCCTTCAAATTTTATTATTTGATCCGTTTTCCTCATCAATACATACACACACACACAGACAAAACCAGAAAACCCCTGCCACTACCTGGTGAGGACAACCCAAGCACCAGACACTGCCACAATTAATTATTGCTTCATTTGCTGACAGTGTGCTCACCACAACATGACAAATACCATTGTAACGCATTGAGTAAGTCTCTATAAAACATCTAGAGAAGAAACAGGTTCCAACAACATCTCCTGCAATTAAAAACCTACAAAATGCTGTTTACATTCGGGTTTGCGTTGATTAGACCAAGGCTGGAAAAGAAGGGATAAATTTCCTGTGCTTACACAGCTTGTAAAGTGTCAGACAAGGACACCACGGGGGTCTTCCTGGAAGGGCAGGTTCAGTTCCCAGTAAGGCTGACTCAGCCTCTCATTTCTGTGGAATAAATCAGCTATCTTCTGCGCAATGGGGGCAAGGGCCAGAAGCCACTTTTGGAGGCACTGAACAAGGTTAAACAGATCCTGTTGTTCTGTTCTACTTTGCTGCATCATTTAGTGTCAGAGAGTTCATGAGTAGACAGTCTTCTAATACTATTTATTTATATCCGAGAGCAATGGGAATACAGAACTATCAGCTCACAAGAGACAATATTGAAATGGTCAGAGAAAACAAGTCAGAAAGAAACATTTGAAGGATTTCCTGACAAACTCTGGAAGAACACCAGTTTTCTGTAATTTCTCTGGCTTCTAAGGTGGACGCAGTTCCAGACAGTAAAGGCAGAGATCTGGGTCTGGAATTCCTGTCTACATCCATCTACTGAAGATGACCCAAAAGGTTAGGTTTGATGTTACATATCTTTGAGAAAGAACAGAGCTGGTGTTCTGGGCTGAAATTTGTCTCTGCTCCAAATGACTGGAATTTCTGGCACTCTCCAGAGAAGATAGTACACACCAGAAAGATTTGTGGTCCTCTGGGAATTTTACGCTTTAGGAGTGCTCAGGGAGAAATAAGATGATGCTTGTGGATCGGACACGTGAAAAGCCGCCTTCAGTTATTTAATGAGCCTTGAATCAAGCTGAGGAACTAAAAACCAGTGGCAGCTTATATATTCATAAAAAGGGAAGGACTTGAAAGGTATTCGGACAGCCCATGTAGGCCCTAGCAGACAGGTTAAAGGGAATGCTGACAGGATGTTCCTGTCCTGACCCAGCTCTGCTGGTGGCAGGAGTTAACACTTTCAGTGTTTCTCCAATTGCTTGTCATTGCCTCTGTCTCAGGAGATAACAGCTTCCCTCCCTCTGCCAGCAGAGCTACTTTTGTGAGCACTGATCCACTGCAGTTATCAATGGGCTGAACTGGAGTGAACAGCATAGATGATTTGTTTTCTTGTTCTTGAGAGGTGGCATCTTCCAGCATGGGAGATACCAAACAGCTGTGGAGGGCAACTGGGAGTTGTCTAGCAGGCAGTTGCTGTCTCTTGCCAGATGTCCAGCAAGACCAGCTACATTTTTTGCCACGAAATGTGGAAGAAAAGGGAATTAAAAGCTGTTGCAAATTCCTTAGCCTTACAGTGACCAGAGGCACACCACACAACAAGTTACACAGATGATCTCAGAGCACGTGAGAGGACATGTCTTGTGGCAGAGAGAGAATGAAAAATCTGGGATGATCATCATCTCTGGAATTAAAAAGGGAGATATAGGACTGAAAGATTTGGGGCAAATGAGACAGCCTAAATTTTCTGCAAAGAGGTATTACAAGACATGAAGAATGTGCTTATGAAAAAAGTGTTGGTGAAGGAGTCAGAAGATACGAAACAGCTTCAGGCAAAGAGGGAAGAGAAAGGATGGGCAATAGTGTGGAAGGATGGGTTCCATATTGACTGGGGGTGATCAAAATCGAGATGGGGGTGGATGAGAAAAAAGTGGAGAAAGATCTTCCTCAGCAGGAGGAGAAGCAATGAATGTAGCTCTAAACGTAGCAGCAGCTGAAAGATGCAGGTGCATCAGCACCTCCTAACAGGGGCAAGAACATAGCTGCAGAGACTGACAAAATCCATAGACAAATCCTCATTAAATTCCTCTGTTAAAACAAAAAGAGAACTTCCCTGATTTCTCTCTGTCTAAAAGACATAGTGTGAATAGTCTGGATACCACCAAATCACACCAAAATGAGCTGACTGCATTGCATTGCTCCCGATAACTGAGGTACTTAGTTCATGTAGCTTATTTTTAAAGAGCTGATCAGCTTCTCTTAGCAGCATTTATTTCCTAGTAAAAAGATAAGTGAGAAGACACTTGAGACAGACACTTTTTTCACAATACAGCACTTTTCTTCACACACATATTTGAATACATACATTTGTGCAAAGCATATACCCTAATCTGGAAAATATATTTTTTTTTCCCTGTGAAATGTCAGGCAGCTTTGCTAATGACTCCATTCCTGGCAGCATTAAGGGAGTATTTTTGTATTCCATGGAGACAAAAACAAACAGCTGTCACCACTCCTGACTGTGAAAAAACCTCCTCCTTTTCTCACCACTCCTCTCTGGCAATTTTTTATTCTTATGTGGATTACAATTGTTATAAAAGCAAACTGGTAGTGTTGATATTGCATAATAATGATATTGCTAAAAGTTAACTAGGACTTAAAGTATTTGATTATGACTCAGAAAAATAAATTTAATTCCTGGTTCCCACAGAAAATTTCCAGGTGGTGAGCCAAATAATTTTTTCAGAAGGTTTTTGAAGACAGACTATTGCTGTAAGACTGAACAAGTACTAACACAGAGGATCTTTAATGCAATTGCTTACAGCATCTTTGCTTCCTCCCTTAATTTGTCACCTGTGCTGCCAAACACTATCTAGTTCATTAAATTCTCCCCAAACGGACTAATTTGAGTAGTTAAGTGGCACAACACCTATTCACCTCTTACTTCCTATTGCAGATTTGTGCTAGAAATAATGATAATGTAACACATACTGAATTCCCTGAAAAAAAAAAAAAAAATCAGAGTACAGATCAGGAACTCGCATCAGAAGAGTATTAACAGGAGAGTAGCTAGCAGACACAAGCTGTGCTGTGGGAAACACTAAGGAACAATCACATATTTAAAAAAAAAAAAAAAAGAAAGAAAACAAAAACAAAACGAACAACCCACAACTGTTTTTTTTTTTTTCCATTAAAAATAAAGAAGCAAACAAAACACAAAAAAGGAGAATACACATTTTTATTACACGTTCACAAGATGAGAGGCACAAGCAAACCCTACAGCATTTTTACTGTACTCAGAGGCAAGCTGTCGTTGTTTTAGCATAAATACTGCTCAGCTGTATGAGGAGCGAGTGAAGAAAACTAAAGCAGAGCACAACCATTTCTGGACGTAGCATTGATTACACCAGCAGTGCTGAGGAGCAGAAGCAGGCATCTTGGCAGTAGCAGCAACAAGGAGAAGGGGACAGATACCCACACAAAACAAGCAGCAGCAAAGGGGGGGGGCCACAGCCAAGAGCTTTCGTGAACATTTACTGAAGACCTATGGATAAAAAACAAAATAAGATTTGTCTACAACAGAAATCAGATTCCATGAATCACTTGATGAATACAAAACATAAAACGTACTCTTTCCTTCATGTAGTTTGTAATATGAGGCAAATAAAGGGCTTGTATTGCCTGAACTAAAGTGGGCAGGAACTGTTGCTCAGTTTCACTCCCTCATTGCAAATACTTCAATGCCAAGCTGATGCGCTTCCAGTAATATCCAGCCAGAACATCTCCTGCCACCTTCCTCTGGGGGGAACAGGTGCTATCCTGCTGGACGATGCCCCATCCTCTGTTATAATTCACCTACATCCCTTCTGGTCTAGGCTTTGGCAAGGAAATATGTCTATGCTTTGAAACCCTGATCCCATAGGAAGTTATGAAGAGTCAAGAATACTGCAGAACCCGGAGCTGTGCACACCCTGTGATCACAAGACACTTGATTTTACTCTTCCCATCATTCTCTTATAGAAAACTAATCCCTGTTAAAGGCCTTGGGATTTCTTCTCCAAGTCTTTGATGGTTCAGCATATCTGAAGGGATAAGAAAGGAAACCATTGACCGCAGATTCTTGTTGTGACTTCACAGCCACAATAGTGTTTTCTGCCGTAAGAATCTAACCCAGTGGTGCTGGCAACAGGCTTAGGCACCCAGCTATTCCTATTCTGATAAAATTCCTGTAGGAGCTAAAGACCATCCCACCACCATTTACTGCCCTGGATTTTCCTTCTCCGGCAGAAATCACTAGAACCATGAATTTGAAAACAAAACCCAGGGAAAGCATTTGAAGTGTTACTCACACCTCTGTGTGGCACACAGCGATCACAGTGGTGCTCAGAGGGAGAGAGGATAAAGCCAGAAATCGCAGAAGTTAGTCAGGCCACTTAGCATTCAGTCAAAAGGCAAGACACTACAGTGGACGTGGTATGGGAGGGAAGGCAGGTAAAGTGGGAAACTGGCAGCTGAAACTCCTGTTTTTAAAGTTTGCCTATTTTCTGCCATAGTTCCACACTAGAAACAGCAGTCTGATTGTCAAAAGAAGATGAATCACTGCTCCTCACAATGCACTGTAACACTGATGACCAAAGGAGAGGACAGTTCCTTGCCCGACTCTCATCTGCAGAGGCTCCTCCACAGCCTGAGCATGTTGCAGAGCAGACTGGACTATACCAGTATGCTTCAAATCGAAGCACACTGCCTGCCTTCAAAGCAAGCGAAATTTGTCACCAAGCAGAAATATCTTAGAAACAAGATGGTCTTATCACAGGGCTGATGATACAGTCGTGCATGGCATATTTCATCTCTTGCTGATACCATCTGAAAAATGCCCCGCCCCAGCAGAATTTACCCCAAAGACTTTCATGACCTAATAAAGCCAAGAGAATTTTGCCACTGGCTTGAATATGTAGGGAGAAAGCTGGCTGTTTTTTCTTCTTACTAACAGAAACAAATAATAAGACAAAATCACCACGAGGTTTCAAACTGAGTGCAAAGTATAAGAAAACAAAATGAAAAAATCCTACCCTCACATTGTGCTTTGAGTTGTAATGTCACTGTGGCTTTTGTGTTCTGCATTTTATTCACCACTACACACGTGAAATTCGCCTGCAGATCCTCCTTTTTTATTTCAGTAATATGCAAAGTGGCCTCTTTGTAATATTCTTGCTCACGTCCTTCAAAACTAATATAGAGAAAAAGAGCTGGTACCACTTGCTTTAATGATAGGCACAGTTTGAATAGAAGAAAGATAATTCTGTGTTATATGTACTTACAAATGAGTTTTTTCATGAAATCTTGAATTATCTAAGTATTTCACTGGGATGTTATCCACATCCCATGTAACAACAGCCATCAGCTGTTTCTTAATCCCCAGGCGGGCCTGACATTTCAGAGACAAAGCAGCACCTAATTGAGATACAGAGAGACGTAAACATTCCTTGATGAAAAACAAGTATAATTTTATTTTCCTCATAACATCTTTTTCTACAAATCTTCAAACCATTTGAGAGTTTTGTCTTAATTTTGTCATATTTTTCTGAACTGCTGCTGACAAAATGATGCATATAAGAGACTCGAAAAGAAATAATAAAATTAGATTTTTAACAAATGATCTAATACAATGCCAAGGATTACAAAAGGAATTATTTATATTTGTTATGATGAAGGCAATGTAGACTTTACTTGTGATGCTTAACCTGTATATTCAACTATTGAGGAACATGGAAAGTAAATGCTGGTTTACACACAAATGTATGTGGAAATAGCATAATTTCATTTTAGTATATATTAATTTGCATAAATCTTGTGTGCAGAATCTTATCTTGGATTTTATTCAATCTGGACAGAAGTAAAGCAGTCCAAGCAAAACTAAAGCAGGAAATTACTTCTTAAGTATTTGTCATTAGGAAATATTTATTCTAAAGAGTCACCATTGCACTGGAAGAAGGTATGATTAAAACACTTTAAATTATTTCCATGTAAATATGTATCTAATCAGGGTTTAGATAAGATTAACAAATCTTACGACTTACATCCTGTACTGATATTATGGATCATGGAGAAATCCCTTCATTTTTGCAAATAGGAGACAATAGAACCAGTACAGAAAATGGTTTTTAAATGTAAAGTGAATATGCTCCAAGCAAGCCGTGCCAGATTACTTACTGCCCCAGAGGGTTGGGCAGAGCCCACAGAACACCAGAGACTGACCACCTTACTGGAGAATTCTGGATGACAACGTGAATTCTGAATTCTGAGTGACAAAGCAACTGGAGGAAAGACGAAAAAAGAGCGGGGATGCACGCCAACATGGCAAGCCTCTGAGGCACGGTACCTGGCACCTGGGGCAGGGCCGCGGGCCCCTGCGGTACCTGTTGCCAGAGCAGCCTCGCTGCAGGACGGGATCAGCAGAGTAGTAATCACAGTCCCTTCTCCCAGCAGCCCAGATTCACCCCACCCGCCCTGGGGAGACAGGCATCCTGGGCTACCTATTTATGTTTCAGATGGGCTGAGGCACCTTCTGGAGAGGTCCACCCTTCTCCATCGGCTCTACAGAACCCCAGACAGATCTCTCGCCTACCACAGGCACCTCGCTCTGATGCTGCAAGTTACGTGGGGTAAACCTGAATCACTGAGAACTTCTAGGGTCCCAAACGAAAAGAAACTCTACAGCAAGCTCTGTATCGCAGGCTCTCCAACCTACAATTTCTAAGAAGTTCACTCCTTGGTCCTGTCTTTCAGCCCTCCCAGAGCAGGACCTGCGGTCCCTTGCTCTCCTTCATTCACCGACAGAGACACAGCCACTGTCTCCACACAGGGACTGTAAGAAGCAAGGAGTATCTCTAGTTGCAGTAGTCCAACTCTCTTAGGGGAACCATCAAGCAGTTTCAAGGGATTTAGCCAAAGCCCTCTTTGAAGTGGATGGAAGCTGTCACTCCTTCAGCTGAGATGCAATAATTGACTGTGCGAGTAATCCTGGTCTATCCCAGTGAGGGTAGAGTGGGTTATCTAAATCCCCTTAAATTGCTGCTTAATACCTAAATAACTCATCTGTTATATCTGACTTCACATCACTATGCCTGGGGTGAATTAAATATGGTGAACGTGGTGAAAAACCGTAACAAAAGAATTTCAGCATTAAATCTTTTTGAAGATCTCCATGTTAGCTAGACCATCACAAAATGTTAATTTAAAAACAATTTAAAGTCTGTACTTACCCAGCTCCACTTCTATTACATCTCTATCCTTTGGAAATAAAATTTGAGGTGGCAGAGGTGAGTGTTTTGCTTTAGAAATTAAGGAAGGAAAGAAAGCACATATAGAAATTTGTGAAAATTCATTTTGTAATATTATGATTATAATCTGTACAGTTAATATTTTAAGGTCCCAAAGCAGAATTGCAAAGTAACACTATAACAGTGTTTCACATGTCTGCTGGGATCATCTGGTTTTATTCCTACGGCCAGATATTTCTGGGGAGTCTGTATGTGTAAATAGTTTAAGTATTTGCCCTCCATTTATTTAATTTCTACCTTTGCACATAAAGAACAAGGAAAAGTTTTAGTTTCTCAAGTACTGTTTTAGCTGCTGAGTGGGAAAAAAAAAGGCAAATGCATTTAGAGGTTTGTGTGTTTTCTCAGTTGCTCATTTTGTTTTTTAAAAGAGATTCCTACCAGCAGTTGAGAAATTTCCCATGTCTATGATCAGAAATAGCCAGCGCGTACGTTTAGGCGGTGTCTGAAGCAGGGGCCCTCTGGCACACAGCTGCCTGCCCGTCCCCCCACCTCCGCAGCCCCGCGGGCTCCCCAGGCTCCCCCCGCGCCGCTGCTGCACACAGCTGCGCCCCGTTACGTCGGCCTGGCACGACACTGAGCATCCCCCATCATTACCTGCTAGAAGGAAAACTGCTTTCTCTTTGGCATATTTCTTTTCCGCCCCCACTAATAATTGTTACGGACAGGTCCAAGCTTCATCCAGCTGCCTGACTTGATTTAGGCATTCAGACCGTTCAAATTTATTCCCCTTGATGCATTTTTCTTTCCTTGCCCTTTATACTGTCTCATATTTACCACTCCAAACAGGCTGCTTGCTATCCTTTCCCTCATTTAGCTTTTCTATCTCGAGCACCTCTGTGAAACCCATAACCATATTTCCCTAAAAATTCTGCAGGAACTCATTTAACCCTCTGCTTCCCAGGCTGCCAGAAAATCAATTCTCTTCACCCACCCTAACTGTTTCTATTTTTCATTAGCTGCATCTGGTGAAAAAGTCAGGACAAAGTCAGTAACTTCATAGCTATCTGACTATGCTAAGTTCTTAGCTGTCAGAATTCAGAGGCAGAAGGTCCTCTGGGTCACTGTGACTCTGCAAGGCAACAGGAATGTACATCATAAACCAATATTACCAAAACATAACAGCTCCTCTCATCAGCATACTAATTTTAAGGGCTGATAAAAACTCAAAGAAGTTGTAATTAAGTATCATTAAGTACTTTGAATTCAATAAAAACTGGAGCAAACATGACAGACCCATCTCAGATTTTGCGTTATGTTGCAATCCCTTCTTTCTGCAATGATTTAAAAAAAAAAATAAATCAGATTAACTTTGAAATTAAGTAATCTGCCTGGATGTAACAAAGGCTTTTGTAAATTTGGATGCCTTTGAGACAAATAAAACCCAGCAGTTTTCATTATAACCCCCATACAACAATATTTCTGTCCAGTTAGAGAAGTTTTAATGAAAAAACATTTGAACAAAAATTAAGTGTTAGGAAGAGAAAAGTCATGTAGACCAACAGGGTTTTACAAGGAAAAGGGGGAGGAAAGGTACAACACCTCCTAAACTACTGTACTATGTCTCAGCTCAAATCTTTATTCTGTCCAGCTCAGAATAATCGGAACAAACTCTGCTACTGAGATCTGGGCACAGCAGCAAAACCTGGAATCAAGGCTCCTATGGTCCAAATCTACATTCTGCCCACAAGTAGGGTGCTTCAGCACAGCAAAAAGGTCTGACATCAGTCTGCAAATGAACATGATCTGGTTTTGAAACAAAACCAAAGAAAACCCCACAACCCAATCCCAAACCCCTCCATTCCACCCCCACCCCCCAAATAATTTTTCTGACTATTTTTCTTCTGATCTGATGGCAGAACTGAAGACACATTTTGAGGTTTTGCAAATTGACACAATCTGGAACTGCTGATTGCTGCGTGCTCTTTCCCTGACCACCATCCAAACACAAAGCCTCCCGAGAAGTCTGCATCCCAGAGGCACCCCAAAGTCCACACAACCTCAGCCAGGTTGGCCATGTTCAGAATAATAAGGACAGTAATTACTGAGATCCATTCATTTTCTGTTTATATATATATAATTTTGTCTCATTCAAGAAAAACTACATTTTTTTTTTTAGCCTGACTATCAAATAAACTCTAGATAATCAAGAGGGACCAGGAGTATTGAGTTGTAGGCCATCAACACATCAGTGATCTGATGATCACCGCTTGATCCTCACTAGCTACAAATTCTTCTCCCCTCAAACAAATAGAAAGCAGAGCTTTGTGGCATCCCACTGAGAAGACCATTTCAGAAATAAGTGCTACCAGACAGCTCTACCAACCACAGTATGTAACCAGAGTCAGAGACTTTTAACAAAAAGCTGAATATGACCAGGTCTGAATTTACCACCATCTTGCTCCGTTTGGATCCTCATCCACAAAATTCACCTAAAAAAAAGCTGATCTAAAGTTTCATTAAGAAGATAAAACAAACCAGCAGAAACGCTTTTTAATGTGCAAAAGGAGCTTCCTTTGCTTTAAGTGGATAGCAATCTTTTTATCTTAGCAAGATACAAAAAGACTGTCTTACCCTTACTTATGAATATCCTTGTTGCTGATACATTAAACACATTTCCTTTATGAATGTAGATAAATTGACAAGTATAATAACCATCATCCTCCTTTCTTGGGTTGTTAATAAAAACATATTTTTCTCCCTTGAAGTATCTCTCTCCCTGAAGAGGTTTGCAGTCCTAGAAAAGAAAACTTTCTTTATTGGGCTGCAAATAGCTTCTCACAGTAAACTGACCTACAGCTGGCACTATCAGAGGTTTATTTACCTTATACCACTGGATGATAGTAGCATTCTCATAATTGTCAATTGTAGGACAAACAATTCTTCCTCTTCCAGTGTCATTTGGGTAACGAATCTGACTTGGGAAACATACTCCTTGCTTGTACGGATGCACCTGCACACTCATGTTGAACAATTTCATGCGATTATCTGAACTTTAAAAATGGAATAAAGTCAATGTCAATGATAGTATTTTAGTAAGGAATATATTAATTATTTGTCACAACTGTGAGTCTTATTTTGTAAACATTTGGATGATTATTGTAGCACAGTCACACATTGATTTAATGACCTGTCATAAAAATAGCAATTGCAGGATGAAAAGTTACATGAATTGGTGTATAGCATGAAAAAATGGGATCATTTCCACAGATGATAATTAGAATGTATTATTAAATCAGGTATGTTTCTTTCCAGTCTTAAACTTTTCAATGTTGCACTTACAAATGTATAACACAAGTGTAGTTTCCAGAATCCTCTCTAGAAGTTGGCAGAAACCAAAGAAATCGTTTTAAGGAAAATATTCGTGATCCCTCTTCTTCTGCAGGAATTATTTTGTTAGTATCCGTGTGATACCAGGTGACATTCACAGCTGAACTCCACAGGGCACATTTTATAACTAAAGCTTCACCTTCCATTGCATCAACTGCAGATGAACAAAAGATAAAAATCTCAGATGAATTAAACCTTAGCCCCGCTGAAACAGAGGGAACTTGGCATTCCTGGATCAGCAGGCCAGTCATGTCCCTCTACCTTCCTTGGATTTTCAGAGATGATATATAGCAAACTTATTCTCACTAGATTTTTTTCAAGAAAATGTTGTTTACCTTGAGTTATGGAGCCATTTGTTTGCAAAACTAGCAATTAATATGTGGGACTGAAACAAACAAACAATCAAAACCCTAGAATCAAACCAGACATACGCTAAAAAATATGAGGTTTTGTTTGAAAAATAGTGATTTCTCGAAATTAATTTCCTATGCAAATCTCTGCTTGAAATCTTGTCTTTGTTCAAAACAAGAATTTAAATGCAAAAAAAAAAGTACTGACTTTAACCCTGTACTATGAAGTTAGATTTCCTTACTTCAGTATAATGAACATTTACTTATAAAACAGAGAAGAGCTTTTGTTGTCCCTTTTTAGTCCAGAAAAAGGGGGTTTTTAATTATTTTTTACAGAAGAAAAAAATAGAAGGAAGAAGTCTGTAGATAAGATCATTAAAAAACAAAACAAAACAAAACAAAAACAAACAAACAAACAAAAAAAAGAAACAGAAGAGCTTCTCTTTGAAGTTTATGAAAATATGAAAAAAAATAAAGAAAAATACTAAAAGGAAGAATTTGATGGGGAGGTGAAAAGATGCCAGAAAACAATACAGAAAGCAATAAGAGACAAATAAGAAGCTTAGGAAAATGAAACACACATGCTCATACCTAAGAAAAAAAGAGGAACTAGTTGGGAGTAAAACATTAATTTTATTTTTTTTTTAACAGTATATTTCTACTTTTGAATACTGGAACTGTTCCAGAGAAACTTGAATCAAGCAATTTTGACAGATATATAAGTGCATAGGCACCTTAATAGTGAACTGGCTGCTGAGAACAGAAATGCTAATCTGAAAGTTAAATTCCATTTTGGAGAAGAGGAAGATGAAAAAATAAGCAAGGATGGAGACTGGACAAAGACGGAGATTGGCAGAGGAGCTACAGTAGGTAAGGAAGCATGAAAATAAGAGTAGATAACCAAATAGCTAACCAAAATAGAGACTATCTATCAAAAATGACACTTTGTGGAATATTCCCACCACCTGGTGAACACTTGGCTTCTCTGCTTCTTTCTAAAGAAGAAGTCCATCTCCACTGACATTACATGTGGTCTCACTTACTAATTCAGACACCTAAATTAGCCACATCGGGTATGAGTACCCCTAACCCCATCATTTTAACAGCATTCCCACCCATGAGCCTTTCAAAGACAGTGGGTATCAGGGGTGCTGGGAAAGGCAGCATTGCCCCACCAAGGGACAAACACGTTGGAAATACAGCTTTCTCCAGGAGAAAACATAGGAGGAGAGGGAACACATAGAAAATGAGAGGCCTCATCTAAACCCAGCGACATCAGTGAAAATTATCTTGCAAAATCTTCAGCAGAATCTAGCCTCTTAATAAATCTAATTCCTTTGAAATTTAGCATTAATATTGTAAAATTGATAATATGGGGAAATATTTAGAGATCATATCTTACAATATTTTTCAAATAAATAAACGGCGGAGCTGGAGACTAGAACTATGTACTATGTAACACTGTGTCACTTGTCAGCATGATATAGCTGAGTCAGCAGAGCTGACCCATCACAAAGAGCTTACTGTTTTGAATATTCCCCCATGTGCAGAGAAATGTTATTGTTACATTGCGCTTGTGGGTTAACACCCCCAAAACCAGGACACTGAAAAGCATTTTTAATGAGCAAAGCACCCGGTTACATCCCTGGTTCAGCAGGGTGCATACGCATACACCCTGTTTAGTGCAATTTAAGCATGCTCTTAGAGACTTTGCCCAGCTGGGGCCTGGAACACCAGCTACTCTCAGATCCTTTCAGAAAGATCCTTTTCCTTCTGCTTGCAGAGATGCCAAGAAGCAGAAGTAGAAGCTAGACTTAACGTCACAGAAATGGACAGTACTTGGTACATTTTAATATACAGTTAAAACACATAAAGCTAGTTTTTAAGCTGTGATTTGTGGCTGGAGGTAAACTAGCTAATTTTAGGTTTTAAAAAAATTACCAATTTGGGAACAGCCTACACATTTCTACAGAATAGACCTCATCAGAAAGTATTTTTAAAATGCAACTTACATGTTTCAGATGTCACAGAAACCGAGAGGAAGGTAGATAGGAAGATTAAATGTACATACTCCATCATATTTCTAAACCAAAAAGAAAAAAAAAAGATATCTGAGAATATATTTTGACTGCATCAGCTATGCTATTGCCATGGAACTGATGTACATCTCCGAGCAGATAACGGTATCATGCAGGGGTAAACTGCAGCATGTGAGCTGCTCTGTACAGAGTGGGCATGTGTGCGGAGCAGTGACTTTGCAGCTTTGAGATTATGCTATTTGCTCTATAATCAGTGCAATAGTTGATGTTCCACTGAAACTGTTGTTATGACTTAGTTTAATGGGGATGGAGGAATTACTCTCCCATGGTGGGCCTCGGGCAGAAGCCTCTTTTTGGTTGGTTGCTTTTCTTTAATGACACTAAATATATGTTAGCATTCTCTTCAGAGTCAAGTGCGGAAAATCTATACCTCAATCTAGAAAAGGATAGATCCTGGATTTGAAAACATATACCCTGGCTTTGAATTCAGCTAACATTCAAGCAACTGCTTAGGTGCACAACACATTTTTGGCTTTCTATGGAAATGGAAGTTTCAGTGACAGCTTCTCAAGGTAGGTGTTTAGCAGGAAGAACAAAACCAGGTGAGTGCCATCAGCAGTGCTAACCTGAAGGGGAACTGAAGAAATGGAAGGGTAGGGTAGGTAAAGGAACGTATATTACACTTGTATAACAGCAGTAGGGCAGATCCCATGCCTCACTGATGTTTTCATTTGTGTTTTGTTGATATGCACCTGCTGTAATTCACACCTCACAGTGTGGCTCAGGCACCCTCCATCAAACCTCTTTATTAAGGAAACTGACTGTCCATGGATGTTAAATTGGCCTAATCTAGGAATATCTCAGGAGACAGCAGACATGCAGTCCAGCTATACCACGCAGCTGTAAGCATCCTACTTACCATTAATAAGCCCTTCACTTGAATGCTGTCCTTCGCTGCAGATCACAGAGCGGTGGGTTCTACTATTGTGTGTGAGGAAAAAGTGGCCCCATGGTACTATAGATGGCAGAGAAGTTTTCAAGAGAAATCAAGTGAGAAACAAATTACAATTTGTCTTGCAGATAGTGAGCACAGGAGGAGTAGTGAAAAATACACAAGAAATGTACAGGCAGGGTAAGTACTGTCGTCACACTTATCGCAAGGAGTTTTTATTTCAGTGCCAAAGATTTCCAGACTAAACAAACATTGCCAGACCTTATCAAGACCTACATTCTTGCCAAGTCTGAAATTCAGAACAAGCTCTATTTTGAGCTTTCAGAAATGTCACTGGCTTTGAATTAATATGAAAAGTGTCTTCTTTTAGAAGGTTTAATAACATCCAGAGGCTTATTCTTAAACTCTTAAAAATAACAACAAAAATTAGTGTTGGAAGAGAAAAGTGTAAGAATTTCAGTATAGGCATTTTGCAGAGATACTCACAAGTGACAGAAAAGATGAGGTTTAGACTGAAAAAGCAGCATCCGAGCATCAATGGCATGGCATGGCTGATGCCACGTCTTTTATGAGAAGCGAGTGACCAGCCAGGACCTCCTAGAAACAATGTGCATGAGGAGCTGCTCGCTTTCAATGGAGCTGGAGAAAAGCACCACACACAAGCACATGCAGTCTACTGACTTTTTTAATTTTAAGGAAATCTTGGGCCAGATTAATAGATTTTTAGAAGGTATTTTTCAGCACAACAAACATCAGGAGTTTTGCCCTGGAAGGAATTAATGAGCTGGTCCAGAAGAGGCTTCAGGAGTGACCTGGGACTGGGTAGGCCCTCAGGGAAGAAAGATACAGAGCAAAACGGCACACAACAAAATTTACTTCTTCAACACAGCAAAGCATTTGTCTTTGTTCATCCTTTAGAGCAGAAAGCTTGTTCCTAGAACTTATTTCTGACACTACTGGGGAGAAAACTTGATTGGCAGGTGGGAATGGAGAGCTGAGTTTCACATATCCCAATTATCAGAGGCCTGGGTCCAACTCGGGGCCTGAACAGATTTGTATTTGCTAGCAACTCTGTTGACTTCATCAGCTAAGGTCTACTTCGATCACAGTTGAAAAATTATATGGGGACTCATAGCTCCATATTCTCCTGAGAAAGAAAAAGGGGGGTGTAAATGCCCTGCACATATTTGGAAATGAGTCCACTATTCAGCTGATATGAGCAACATTTGATAGATACGTGGTGTTTCAATATCCTGAACAGCACATCAGGAATAAGTGATGAATGTTTCTCTGGCAAATTTCAGTCATCACCTCTTTTTCACAGTCCATGAGGTATCTACCTGTTCCATTTGTCTGTCTGGGTAAAATCGAAACACTGCCATCTAGCTCTAATCTGTCTGAGAAATTATTTTGCTTGACTTGGTTTCACTGAGCCTTGCTATGATATGTACCTGTTCTCAAACACCATGACATTCTCTGCACTGATTTCCTCTCTAGTTAATCGTCTTTTGCTATCAGTTACTGTACCTAATCTTAGTGGTTCAAATCAGCTTTGGTTAGCTTATGTCTCACTTGTTTTTTCTCACAGAAACAACTTTTTTCACTTGCAGCTCACAAGAGCCATTACTGATCATTCCCAAGAATTTGCCATCTCCATATTCTTGTGACTTTGCTACTGAGCATTGGCTTGTGCAGAGGAGAATTTTTGTTCCTAAAAGATCCTTCTGTCCATCCAGGCAGCCAGTTTTAGAAGCTGACTTTAAACTATTTGGAACCCATATACATTTGGAATGGTTCACTTGTTCCAGAGAGGGACTGACTGACACGTCTGGGACTGAATCAGGGTATACACAGAGTCAGAACTAGTGATGTAGCAAGAGAAGGTGAATCCCTCCAAAGGATGTTTACGCAGCCTTCCAGAGCACTCTGCCATCAGATGCTGAATGCCTCCAGCATGCAAAATGCATGTATGTGTATACACATAAGCAAACACGATATGCAAAACACTGGCAGCAGCTGGGCTGGTTCATACAACTGAGATTAGATACATCTATATCAACTGAGTCTCCATAGTGAGGTCCCCAAACAGACACTAAGAGCCAGCTAAGTGAAGAACTCTAAGCCAAACAATAAATAGAATTTAATATCATTAGATAATTTGATTAATTAAATAGAAATAAAAAATACTCGGAATATTCCTTCTCTGCTGGGAGCCTTTTCCCTCCAAGTGTTTGGTTCTGTTCCACAAACTTACTTGCCCCCTAGGAGGTATACTAGCAGTACCTGTCCTACTACTATTTAGAGATATCTTGTTTAAGTAAGCAGATACTTCAGCAAGATGACAAAAAGTAAAACGATTTTTAAAAGAAAATCAGTTTCATAGACCAGATTTTATTTATATGTGTCTTTTTTGTATCTGGCCACAACTGATATTACTGTTGGAGATACTGATGAGTCCCCTCTTGCCAGTGCTATTGCACCCCTAGAAATGGAAGGCTGGTGATTAACAAAAAGTTACAAGGAGTTATGCTTTGTCCATTTTTGAGATGCAGCTTTGTTCAGAAATGGACACAGCCAATTACTTGTCCTCACCAACTCTTCTAACAATAGCCAGAAGGATCCAGGAGTAAGAAATCTGTATTTGCCTACCATTATACTTGCCAGTTGTATTTATCCTTCTGTTTCTTGAAAAAGTGTGTCTTTGAGAGACCTTACACATACTGGGCTACCAGCCTGTGCCAAAACAGTGCAAAATAGTTGTGCTCAAAGGACAAATTCTCCTTGCCTAACTTTGATGATTGCTTTACTGATTTTCCCCCCATTTTTACATTGCCATGTATTGGTGGCAGTCTGAGTTTGGAGTTTGTGTGTGTGGATATGTGCAATATACAGAGCTCTAATTAAAGAGGAGTGTTCCCTGGAAATACAAAGAGCTCAAGCAATTAAAAGAACAATGTGATTCTGTTTGCATTTTACAAAGCCAGCAGCAAACTGCCAAATTGCCTCAATAAAAACTGAGGCAGAGGTTGCAGTTCTAGAGAGCAAATGACAAGAGAAGGACCGGTTCACTACTGCCTTACAGCTTGTGGCATTACTCTACACAAAGCAAAATGAAAGCATCCACACATCCATGACACTGAGGTCAAATAAAAAGGGTATTATGAGGCTTGAGACAAAGGCACTGAGACACCTCATGCCCCACAGTCAAAAGGAAGAAGTTCCTGTAACTTGGAGCACTGAGAGACAAAGGCCATAATTTCTGGAAATGGTTGAATTTTCTTTCTGCTTCTGCAGATTTATTTAGAACTTATGTTTTATTGTAGTTGTCTGAAGTAAAACTTGAATAACAGATTTCTGTGTCCTCGGTATACCATAAATTTAGATTGTTAATATTCAGGGGAAAAAAGATAAGGAGACATTTTCCATAAATCTCTTTCTTCCTACAGCTCACAATAATTGCATGTTATGAGTTTAAGTCTCAGCTCTGTGAAGGAAAACTTCAGTTTGATGCTGAAAAAGAACTAGATCCAAATACAAAGATGTGGGATAACTACCTGAGTATGTCAAAACCTAACCCCTAATGATCCAATATCAAAGGAAGATGAAAGAACTGGGAACCCCCTATTTATGTTACAGGAGCAGTAGTATGCAGGGCTTAACTCCTTGCTTCACCAAAGGCAAGTGTGTTAGTAATGTATTTGTGACTTTTTTTCCAAAATTGTATTTGTACAGAACTGTTTATATAACTGAACAAACATTATAAAAATACCATGCCTTGCATACTAACAAAACTTGGAAACATTATTGCAATTTCTAATTTAAAAAGCTTAACAGACTTTAAAACATGAAACAGCAATTGTGTGAGTTTCATTTATTAAGACATAGAATTTGGTTGTTCACCTCTTGAAAGTTATTTTCATTCTTTTATCGAACCAGAAAACCCATTCTGACTGAAAATGGGCTATTAAAATAGCAACAGTAACACTGAACTTATTCCAGAACTAGTACTCTCAAAAGTTAACACCTACACTAGTAACAGCTGTAAGTGTAAAATTTAGGAATTTTGATATTAAAGTATGGAAATGATAAAATTGATATAAACATTATTCTTACAAAACATTTTGAAGCAAGAAAGTACATAAATATAATAAACTTCAAAATTTATTGCACAATAAATATTTTCTGTGCCTTTGAAAAATTAGCAAAAATATCTGCCAGAAAACTGAGGGCAAATCCAATTCTAAATACACTTAGTTATAGGGTAAATCTGTATGTTGCTTCCAAAGTTATTTGTCTATCACATGAGCATATCCACTATTTTAATCTAATATTTTTTCTTGAGATAAAGAAGCACATAAGTAAACTGAAATAACCTTTCTCATAAAATACTTCAGTTATTTTTGGTTAAATGATAATATAAAAATTACACCTACCATCGGGAAAATTCAGAAAGCAGAGAAGCGGCTTGCTCCCTGTGGCTGGTTCCTCTGCACTGATTTCTCTGCTGTAACTTGTACCAGATATTACTGGGAACTCTTTTTAACTGGCTTGTGCAATTCATATCTGTAGGAGCAAGATATACAGATTCATTTTCAGACACCTCCCACAGAACAGAGCAGAGCCTGCGAATTACTGTAGTAACCTTAAGTACCTATCAGAGATGACATCTCATAGTTCCAGTTAATCAGTGTCTTTTACCAACAGCATAGCTTTTTCATGAATCACAAATCATTCAATTTTAGCATACAAATCTGCTGGCTGGTTATTGGTTTTCTCACACACCTGGGGAGAACAAAGAAGGGACACTGAGACGGCAGAGGGTGCTTTGAAACAGATTTTGTTTGAAAACAAGTGGCAGCTTTGCCTCATCTAGTCAGGCAGCAGTTCCTGAAGAACAGCTCTAAAAGTTCTTGGAGAACCAGGAACAGTTTTTACTGAAGGAAACTAAGCTGAGAAATCAGTTGTCTGCACCAGCAGCTAAATTAAGTCTCTGAGGGAAAGAAGGCTGGAGGGGAAGAGCAGTTCCACAGGAAATCCAGAAGCAACTCTGAGAGAGCAAGAGGGAGAGGGAGAAGTCATCACAGCAGTGGACTTGACCCAGTGTACAGTGACCGACAAGAGCAGGTATTCAGGAGACCATATGGGCCACCAAATGTCAGAAAGACATTTTAGGAAGCACTGTTCAAGACTGTTGAACAGCCTTCCATGCATCGGCACTAAACCTGGACCCATCAGATCAAGGGTCCAAACTATCCCCTTCTTGTGCAGCAGCCAGTCGAAAGAGGCAATTTCAGTACTAAATCAGACAAATTCCAGGGGATAAATCATCTTGTACATCTTAGCGGAAGAACCCCTAAAGACTTTTTGAGAATCAACTATCCATTCTTTCTCTAACCAAACAAGAAGATTTTATACTATGGTCATGCAAACTCTTACTTTTCCCTGGCAGAGTTATGAATACCATTTATCACTTCCTTTGTTCCTAGGACTCTGCTGTCAGGATGCAGCAGCTCCACATCAGTACACAAAGATGTAGCAATTATACACCAGTATGCAAAACATCTTACTGATGTCACACCCATGCTTTCCTCAGTTCTTGGTATAGCATTTCCTTTGAAGTGGTCTAGGGGTTGCACTTCCTATATGACACAGAAGATGTAAAAGAGCTGAAAAAACCCAAACTGCAACAAGGAAATCTCACAGTGCTTTGGTCAACCAGTCAGGGTCAGCTCATATCGCTATCTTGAAAAGCTCACAAAACACTCCCTGCTCAGGTTCATGCAGTTTCATCAGAATCAGGGCCTTCCTAATTTACTGACACTAGAGACTCAAGCAAAAAGTCTGGAGTAACCATCTGCATTCAGTGGTACATTCAGCATCCTCTCACCGCGTCAGGTTACTCTAGGGAAAGGTTAAATATATTCAGGCGAAGTTAATTTCCATTGCCTGGATACAGAATAAGTTCTTCTATCATAAATTTCACTGGAACTTAGATCAGAGATGATGATTGCATTGTTCCATGTGTCAGGTTTGTGTGGCAGGATTTGTGGTAGCAGGGGAGGAGGCGACAGCGGTGACCCCTGTAAGAAGCTTCTAGAAAGCTCCCCTGGCTCCAAGTCAGAGCCACCTCTGTCCAAGGCCAAGCCAGGTAGCCACAGTGGCTGTGCCTCTGCGATAACATACTTAAGAAGTGGAACCTGGGATGGGGTTGGGACTTGTGAGGAGGAGTTGGGAGAAGGACACCTACTCAAACACCGAGGTCGGTGGAAGAAAGGAGGAGGAAGTGAGGGAGGTGTGCCAGAGCACAGACCCCTGTAGCTCATGGTGAGATGGCAGGGCTGCCCCTCCGCCTCCCATGGAGGTCTGTGGGGGAGCAGAAGCTGACCTGAAGCCTGTGGAGGAGCCCACCCCAGAGCAGGCGTCTGCGCTTAGAGGAAGCCGGGACTCTGAGGGGAGAAGCGGCCCCCGCTGTTGTAGTTCGGCACTGGGAGGGCGGCAACATGCGGGGGGACCCACACCGGGGCAGCACAGGAATGGCTGCGGCCCGTGGGGAGGACTTACTGAGGAGAAGGTTCATGAAGGATTGTCTCTGATGAGAAGGGAGCAGAGCCATGTGGAGCAGGAGAAAGTATGTGCAGCATTCCCCACCACCCCCTGAGAAGGAAGGAGCATTGGACTGACTGGGACCCCCATTCCCTGCACCCGGCGCCAGTGTGGGGGGAGGAGGTAAAGAGATCCCGAGCTGAGTCTAGGAAGAAGGGAGGGGTGGTGGGACGTGTTTTTTGCATGTGATGGTGCTTCTCACTGTCCCACCTTGTCTGTTAAGTGTTGCTTTTGTTAGTGTTTGAATTAAAGTGATGTTCTTTTTCTTTCCCTAACAAGTCTGTCTTTTGCCCATGACCATAATGGGTGAGTCACACCTTCCTGTCCTTATCTCAATTCCTGAGCCTTTTGCTTCATTTTCTCCTTCCCAGTCCTGGGAGGGAAGAGGAAAGTGAATGGCTGTGTGGTGCCTAGTTGCCCTCTGGGCTCAAACCATGATGTTCCATACCTCGGAAGAGCCCTTCATCCCATAGTCTGTTCCTCATGCCCAGGTTGTTCCCAGATCATGACACAGGTGGGAAACTGAGCTCCTGGCTACAGGGGATAGTGGCCAGCTGAGCAAAAGCCATTCTGTACTTCAGCAAGCAAGAGAATCATCCGTTCTTCAGGCAAAGAGGTCAAGAAGTAATGGGCTTAAACTGAAGCAGGGGTAGTTAGGCAAGACAGCAGGAAATATCTTTTATCAGGAAATGTGGTGAAGCACTGGAAGAATTTGATGGGAACATAGTGGAGCTGCCACTAAGTGTTAGACCTTAGAGAAAAATCTCTTACTGGTATCAAGATGCTGTAGTCGGCCTCACAGGTCCTAACCAACACTAGGATTCAATGGTCCAAAGACTCAGCTGTCTGTGATTCAACGGCTGGTTTTGATGCAGCATGGCTTGTACTGGATTAACTCAGCTGTGTTGGCAAAATTACACCTGGGCTGTGAAAGTTACGCAAGTTAAAGCCATGCTAGATACAAATAGGGAAAACTCAGATTCAATTAAGTTTTCAAGTTCATAAGAGCTATGAGTTCAAGCATTCAAGACAAAAAATGAGGACACAAAAAAAAAAAAAAAGATAAAATCCTGAGATAAAAAGCAGACATAAGAAAACAGCAACTCAGCAACATCACGGTTCACTTTGCTCCAAGAAACAGTGCTTAGTCTAGCAGCATATTAGTCCTGGCTGTCTAATATCTATCTCTATTAGCCAGGAAATAATTGCTGGGTACATTATTTTCACCCTGCTTGCAGATCGTCACTGTACACTGTAGGGGACACCTGGACAGAGACGACCCTGGCAGAGAAGGTTTCACTATCTACATTTGTTGAGGCCAACCTAGGGAGCACTGCTGGAGTTAGCAAATGGTCAGATGGCAGGGGAAAGCTGTTGTTGGGTGTGTTCACACCCATGGCAGGTCCAGTGGTTTTTAGCTGGTGGAGATCCGCCCTAACGAGGTTGCAGTGTCCTTCCTGTTCCTCTAAGTCATGATGCCTTACTTGCTGCTAACATAGGCACCTCATGCTTCGTGCAAAAGAGAAATTAGAAAGATTTTTTAAATATTCTGATGGGGATGGACTCATCTTCCCCCAAAGTCAGAGTTGCCCCTAGTCTTTATCATCAATCATGCAGTCCTATTAGCACCCACATTGTGATAAAGATGAACGAGCTGGTCCCCAAATAGCTCTCCTGGTTTCTTTCATTGAGAAGTTTGAGATAGTTATCTGTCCTGGTTGGGGCTGGCATAGGGTTCCCGTTGGTCTGGCAGTGGGAGGAGCTGCAGCCCCCTGAGACCCCAGGGGCTCCCCAGGGCCCAGTGCCCTCACCTGTGTGCGGGGGCGGGGGGAGCACAGCTGGAGGGCTGGGCCCCGATTGGCCGATATCCCCTGTCACGTGACATTGCGCTCACTATATAAAGGCAGGAGTGGGCCGGGAGGGCTTCTCACTTCCGGGGGCGTGGCTGTGGGGCCTTTGTGTTGGGGATCGCCGGCTGGGAGGTGAGCAGCTGTATTGTATATTACCTGCTGATACTGCTGTCAGCGTATTGTTCTGTTACTGTTATTAAACTGTTTTTATCTCAACCCTCGAGTCTCCCTTTGCCCCTCCGATTCCCTCCCCATTCTCAAGTGGGGGAAGGGTGGGTGAGCGGCTGCGGGGCTTTTAGCTGCTGACCAGGCTCAAACGATGACATTATCCCAAGAAGACACTGTTGGGGGTGCAGGGGGGTTCGTGCCTAACCTGAGTGTATTGGGTTTCTGTGGCAAGACTTGGAGAGGGAGTGCAGAGGTGGCTTATGTGAGAAGACACGGGGGGCTGCCCCCATGTTGGACAGAGCCAGCTTCAGCTGGCTCCAAGAGAGACCCACTGCTGGCCAAAGCTGAGCCCATCAGTGACATTGGTAGCATCTCTGTGATAACATATTTAAGGAAGTGTAAAAACTGCTGCACAGCGACTGTGAGAGAGGAGTGAGACAAAGCGAGAGAAACAACGCTGCAGACACCAAGGTCAGTGAATGAGGGGGAGGAGGTACTCCAGGTGCCGTAGCAGAGATTCCTGTGCAGCCCATGGAGAAGGCCATGGTGTGGCAGGTTGTCCCCCTGAAGCCCATGGAGGCTAATGGTGGAGCAGGTACCCACCTGCAGCCCATCAGGCATCCCCCACTGGAGCAGCTGGATGTGTCCTGGAGGAAGCTGCAGCCCATGGAGACACTGGAGCAGGCTTCTGGTAGAAACTGAGGCCATGGAGAGGAGCCCACACTGAAGCAGGTTTTCTGGCAGGACCTGTGACCTTGGGGGCATCTACACTGGCATCTACACTGGAGCAGTCTGTTCCTGAAGGCTGCACCCCATGTAAAGGACTTACACTGGAACAGTTCATGAAGAACTGTAACCTGTGGGAAGAGCCCACATTGGAGAAGCTTGTGAAGGACTGTCTCCCATGGCGGGGACCTCACACTGAAGCAGGGTAAGAGTATG